TCTAAATCACAAATTTTAATATATAGCCTAAAGGCTACTGTACCCTTCAAACCGAAACGCATTACTCCGCGGCAGAAATAGGCATGGTAGTGTCAGGCGGTGTCACAAGCCACCCCATTACCAGTAAAACAATTCTGCATCCATTTAAAGATTGATTCGTCAATACAAAACTTCAGCCGCTGGGACTACTCTAAAATTACACATTAGTTACTAGAAATAAGTCATTACGGTTCCTCCTGATCCACTCTCGGTGCTTTTAAACTTTCCAAACACCGGTAATCATTCTCACAGGGACACAAACCACTGAGTTTAGGGCAGGATCTTCTCAGTGGGTCTCGATTCCGATCCAGTGGTAGATTCAGCGCAGCACTGCTCTTGCTAGGGCAGATATTATAATAGTCTCAGGCTAAGCCCTTTGAGCTCGCCTCCTAGTTGAATGAAACCGGAATAGCCCCTTGAGGCTATCGGCGATTGGCTACAATTAAAAAAGATCATGCTACAAACTAGACATTTAGTTGTTGTTTAAACACCCCAGTTGATGTTTTTCATAATATTTTACTACTAACTATTTTAGCAAATTTCATCCCTAATTTTTTTTTATCCTTCTTCCTAATCTGAAATGGCATTTTTTTTTCAAAAAATTTCCCATAGTGGGGTGAATTAGCGATTGACCGCTCATAGAGGAAGTTCGTTACTTTTGAAAGAAGCATGAAAATCAATGTATAAACCTGTTTTTCCTCCGTTTTTATATTAAAAAATATAATACAGTAAGTTACTTCATATTTTGCTCCTGATTTCCTTAAAGCGAAGGCACTGTTAATTCAACAAAGCAACGCAGTTCAACGCATCACATAATCTCGTAATGTTACGTCCAATTTAAACAATGTTAGAGGGTACACATGCGTAGCTTTCAAGGAAAAGCAAATAATTTTAGAGGTAAACGTACTCGTGTCTACTGCGGGAGCAGTTTACGTAATCTATAGCCGTAGCTGAATCGCCCTAACGAAATTTACTAAATCAGCTTGTATGTATTATTATTTATTTGTTTCATAATGGTTGTGTTTTTTTCAGTAAGTATCTTCAGTTGGCGTCGATGCGCCACTTCGACAAAGCGGCACGACACGAGAACCCTCTCATCGTGGCCGCCGGTAACTACATTCCCGATCCTGCGGACAGAATGGAAAGCAGTCGACGTCGTCCAAAACACGTCATCTCGGATCCTCCCGATCCACTAACGGTGCTTTTAGCTCCTTCAAGCACCGGTCAGCGTTCTCGTCGAACCCGTCGCTTGCGACGAAGGGCTCGACGAGCAAATTAACTCTCAGACACAGCCCACTGAGTTTCTCGCCGGATCTTCTCAGTGGGTCGCGTTTCCGATCCGGTGGTAGATTCTGCGAAGCACGGCTCTTGCTAGGGTTCGTGTTAGCAACGTCATCAGGTTTGAGCCCCGTGAGCTCACCTACAAACGTTAGGGTTACGCTGGAATAGCCTCTCAAGGCTAACAGCTTAGGCTTAAAAAAAAAATTGTTTTTTTTAAACCTTAGTTTATCAGTCATGCTTTATTACCTTTTATATTGTACACTTTTCCCCTCTTATACATCGTATTATTGCTAATGGTTTGCTGGAAGAAAATTCATGAATGAGTTAAGCTCGCCTTTGTACATAGTATTTAGACATTCTTTTAAATCTGTTTTTATTGTATTTTCTTTTTTGTGTACAATAAGTATAAATAAAATAAATAAAAAATTAATATAGAATTTCCAAACAAAAACCATTCGAAGCGACGGCGTCGGACTATGGTGGAAGCATGCCCTTTGTAGCATTTTTCTCAAAATCGTCAGTCTTGACAGAATTAAATTCTTCTTTCAATGTTTAATGTCTCATTTTTTATTATTATTATATTCTTTCTGACGTTTTGTACAGCATAGATAATACACATATTGTTTTGTTTTCGTAGTTACGGACAATCGTCGCGTAAAAGTAAAATTAATTTAAATAATCATTTTTGTAATAGCTTGCTTCCTCTACTAGAAGAAGACATTAATTTTTTTATAATTATACGGGTTTGATTTTAATTACACGATGCTGTTCCTTCACCGTGGTAGTCAATCGTGAACATTTGTTAGGTACTTACGTATTTTATTAGAATAATTGGTACCAGCCCGCGCGATTCGAACACCGTTGCATTGCTAGACACGAATCCACCAGGCGTTTTATCTTTTAGGCCACGACGGCTTAAAATATGTACATCGGTTGCTATGCACATATTTAATACAAATACAAAAACACAACATTCCCTATACATTGTTTTATATTCAAAATCGGATTCAAAACTTACCAATGTCCGATAGTTGTCATCTTAATATAAATTCCACATAGTGGTAGTAGACAAGTTATCACCACCCGTCTACTTCAGTCATTTTGTTTTCTACTACAGACCACACACAACCTCGTTCCTTATAAAGATTGTTGTCAACAAAACTTGAATGTTGTCAGTCAATTCAATCTGAGGTCGGATTCTCAGTTATCAGGATTAGCGATCACATCATTTAAGTTGGATCCTACAACCAATCCAATTTCTGGACAGTAGTATCAAAGCTACGACTAGTGTATTGTGCCAAATTATACTAACTAGTAATTAATCTTAAAATCAAACCCGCAAAATTATAATTTGCGTACCTAATTACCGGTAGTAGGACTTCTTGTGAGTCCGCACGGGTAGGTACCAACACCCTGCCGTGATTTCTGCCGTGAAGCAGTAATGCGTTTCGGTTTGAAGGGTGAGGCAGCCGGTGTAACTTTACTTGAGACCTTAGAACTTATATCTCAAGTTGGGGTGGCACATTTACGTTGTAGATGTCTATGGGCTCCAGTAACCACTTAGCACCAGGTGGGCTGTAAACTCTTCCACTCATCTAAGCAAAAAAAAAAAAAGTAACCCCAAGAACTCTTCCACTATGCTAATAGTGTCTCAGTGTATCGTCCTCGATGCTTTGCTTCTCGAAGTCAGGTGACGCCCAGTCTAGTAGGTTATACTGTTACTGTTTAAAGGTTTGGACGTATGGCCATTTTACAATTGAGACTTAAACCGCATTTCACAAAGTGCATGGTAGCGTTCACGTTGTGTTATCTACGGACTCCGGTATCGGTCTGTGCTCTAAGTCCTGTCTTGTTTTTATGTTTTATTACTAAGCTGGACAGGACGAGCTAGTGGCCCACCTGGTGTGAGCTGGTCACCGGAGCTCAAAGATATCAAGCACGTCAACGCCGTCGCCAATCTTGAGACATGAGTTCAGTCTTCGCTTTTACAGTACAACGGCTGCCCCACCCTTCAAACCGAAACGCATTCTTGTTTCACGACAGAAATATGCAGGGTAGTGGTACCCACCCGTGCGGACTTACAACTCGCCGTACCACCAATAATTGAGTAGTAGTCTTGTGCCGGAGTAACGTCTTTGCGAAATTTGAATTTAAATAAAATCATTACTTTCAATTAATTTTCGACCGTTGTCAAGGATTGCTGCTGTTGAAATAGTGTCAGGCATCGATTTCCCGTGGCTGTCGTAAAAGGCAACTAAGGCATTCATTGGGAAACTGGCAGGAGGGGTCTCTCCATATCATATTAGTGCTTAGTGCGAGCTTTTTAACGTTCTCGACAGCGTTAAAGTTAACTCAAATTTGTATGGAGTTGAAACGTTTGCTTACGTTTGCCGCTAGGGGCGCTGTTCCCACCAGTATGCGGTGGGAACAGCGCACACCGGTGGTAAACCACCACCGTCTTGTATTCGTGGTCCAGAGTGAATCGAATTCGGGCAAGCCAGCCGTTAACGAAATTAAAAATTGAGAAGAGGTTTTGAATAAAACACAGATTCGAAGCATCTCTTTATTTAAAAAAAAAATGACCCTGTATTAATACAGGGCTACAACACACCACACTCACTACTACTAAAATAAAAAGCTAGATTAGAAGCTTCGGATATCCGAAATCAGTATGCACCTAACTAATAAAGACGTTCGCTAAATGCAGACATCGGTGGAATTGAGTTCACAGCGGTAACCAGGTATTGCTTCCATTTCTATGGGGAGGCGCTGGGTGCGGTCGGCATAGGACCTTGTAGAGACCTGTGTTCAACAGTAGTCCTCTTCCTAATATTTTTTTTTATTGCTTAGATGTGTGGACGAGCTCACAGCCCAGCTGGTGTTAGGTGGTTACTGGAGCCCATAGACATCTACAACGTAAATGCGCCACACACCTTGAAATATAAGTTGTAAGGTCTCAGTATAGTTACAACGGCTGCCTCACCCTTCAAACCGAAACGCGTTACTGCTTCACGGCAGAAAGAGACGGGGCGGTGGTACCTACCCGCGCGGACTCACAAGAGGTCCTACCACCAGTAATAACTACTAACGCGATGATCGCCATTAGTTTTCGAAACAATTGCCTCAACTAGTAACAGTGTTGAAATTTAACATCCAATCTCAATGTAATCTTGAATTAGCGTAGAAACGTCGCCTTTTGACTATACTTCTTATAATGAAGTGAATGTTGTTCAAAACTCTTTTATACGCAGCTTTTTCTTAATTAAATTTATTAGAACAGCAAATAGTTTTGGAATCTGTGACTTGAAACGATGTCTTGAAATAAGAGTCCAGAATCGCGATCATCTCCTCTATACAACAATACTACTACAACATACTACATATCGTGCCCGGCCACCTTCTTACGGTTGAAATCGAGTAAGAATGACAAAATTGGAATGTTTTAATTGTTTTTTTTTCTCTAATTATACATTATTTGTGTTACAAAAGTTCTAGCGGAACAAAGCACTTTTAGCTTTAGCAGAACTACGTTGTTATTTTTACACTTTAATTTCAATTTTATTTTTCACTTATTAGAAGTGGAAATAGCTTGTAGGACAATGAAATGGATTATTTAATATTTTAAAGGACCTTACACTCAAAATTAAGGATTTTTTATATTTGTTTTATGAACTAATAACGATTCACTGCAAAAAAAAAACTTGTATTACTGATTGTTTTTTTTTTAATTAAATAAGTATCATTTTCTTCTATAGCTGTTCAATACGTTCCAACATGTTTTAAAAGTACCGAGCAACTAAGCGATCAGTGAGATTCAATTTTCATCGAATTTAAAAAGTAGTCTCTCCCTATGCTGTAATAAAAAATGTTTATCCCTAAATCAAAATTAATGATTAACCTAATAAAATGAATATAATCTTAAAATTTTAGACAAAAACGAGTTGATTGATTTGACGAGGGGTTTTCATCAGATGGTTACTAGGCCATTTCCTCCATCAATCCTTGGGTTTATATCTTTTTTCTTCGCTTTTCCGGGGTGGACGGGAACAGTGCTTCGTCAGCTCTGATCAGCCGGTTGACTGCGCGACTCAAAGACACATCTGCACCCAAAAAATGTCTTATAACTATCTTTATTATGATATAGTTAGATGACTTTCTTTTTTCTAGCATAGGAATACTGAATCTACGTGTAATTAAAGTTAAACTTCTAAGTAGTTATTTACTATTACATTACAAGTAAAAGCAATAAGCACTAGCAAAGAAACTTAAAACTATTTTTTTTTTTTCATATTAAATTGAACTTAAACTACGACAAAACAGTATTCCTACACTTAAAACTACATAATTGTTTGGTAAGCAGATTGTGTCAATTGAATCACCCAATATAAACCGAGAGTTAATGAGGTTAATACAAAATGAAACAATTTATCAAAAAATAATGATTAACTTTTCGAAAATATCTTTTTTATTTAGTGATAAAATTAAAACAGTCCACTTACATTATAGATTAAGCATTTGATTGATTATTAAAAATATATAAAATTGCACAAAATTGTCTCTAATTAATATATACGTGAGGTATGAAGGTATAATCAGTCAATTATTTAATTATATCAATAACAATCTATAATAAATATTAACTATTTCATCTGTGTAATATAAATTAACTTAATACTAAAAAATATCTTTTAAGCTCTACAATTTCAAATATAAACAAAACGTTTTATTAATAGAACAAAGATGGTTTCAAAATAATATTACAATTTCTTAGAGTCTCTTGACAAAAGTATGTTTGATTTTATGTAGGTTAGTACCAAAATTCAATGGTTTTAATATAAAAATACTACAAAACGATTTACAGACACTGAAACGCCATGAATTTAAAAGCTCATGATCGTAATGAAGACAGGACCTACTTCGCACTAGGATCATCTTTGGACAGCGTACGGGTCTGTCTACTGTTGATTAAAATTAACACGAAAATAAATGGATTAAATGTGAACGAACCTGAAATTCAGTTCGGACCAAAAAAATATAAATATGATGTTGTCGTGATCTATGGATTTCTAACTACGAATCTATTACTACTATGAACACACGTCTTTTTAAATGTGGTTTCCTTGAAATTCTCAACCTTATAGTTAGGGCTAAGTTATAAATACGAAAATTGTATTTGATAAGGCATACATTATTTCGACCGTGTAATGATACATTATTTGAAAATTGCTTTAAAAATTTTAGACGAATATTGCAGCACCTTGATACTTTTATTTGTATTGGATAGGGTCCCTGAATCCAAAAGTTGGGCTTTAAATACTTTTGCAAATACTGTTATACGTCGCATTCCGTCACGAAATGTAATTTTATATTAAGTACCTTTAAATATGTACATAATATATAACTGTAATATCCATTACGGCCAGACAAAGCCAGACAAAAAGCAAACGGATCCGTCCTGGCCTAGTAGTCAAGAGCCCAATTATTCTGCCATTACCTTACCCTACACACGAAGATAAATTATCCGTTTAGTCACAAAACAATTAATTGTTCATTGAATTAACCATTAAACTTTTGAAATACTATAATAATAGATAATTATTTAAAAAAATATGTAAAATAAGGATCCTTATTTTCAATATTAGTATTAGTTTATAATATGAACGAGCTGCTATATATTGTATTAAATATTAATATATCTGGGCAGGTAGGAAGGTGAGTTAGGTCCGATGTGTATCATTAAGTTTTCACGTATATATAGGTACATATGTATTCTCATCGTTATGTTAACTCTGCCAATGCCGGTCTCAAGCCAGGATGAGAAAAGAGGATAGGTTTGAGTTGTGGAGTTCGACCTTTCCACAATAAAATAGTCAACACTGAATGTCTGGCGGGGGTTAATTAACCGGACTTCAAATAAGGCTTCAGCAGCATAGAAGAACTAAATCTCTTCCAAAAGCACTGCCGTGGAAGGATGCGGGATCCATGTGTATTTTCCCAAGAAAGCCTCATGAGGTCACAACCCTCAGCATTGAAGATTATCGACGCAAGGTGGAGAATACGCGTGTATCCACATAACATAGAAGTGGATGTATATAATATGTGCGTATTGTGGTTATTTTCTTTTTACTAAGTTAAATTTATAAATTTCTTTTTTTTTTCCTTTGCTCACTTTCTACTTTGTGATTTTGATGGTTTAAACTTGTTTAGTTTTTGTTTTAGCTATTTTTTTTAAATATAATTTGTTCGTTTTGCACTTTTGGTATTCCAAATAAATAAATACCCTAGCGCCCTCTAGTAAGCGCGCGATCAAAACGAAATATGTACCAATGTAACAAGTTCATTCGGAATGCCAAAACTAGCACCTCCTAACACCACTGTGCCCACACTCTGTACCATAGTTTGAGCCGCCTCTAATAATCAATGCCTTCCGAAATCATAATTAAGTACTTTAATAAAGAACAGCCTCGGACATCAGAGGCATAACGTCGGTTGTGCTTCATCAAGACTCCTATTTCTACGGATTCGTCGAAGTTACCTAAGGCCCTGCTATTACCATCCGCGTCGCGTTGACTTTGTTGAGCACGAGATATTATATCACACGTAATATGACACTACAGAATTATACTTAGTCTTTTAAATTAATACATATTTATTTTCGGCTTATCTAAGGAGTAGTACTTGAATCCACTTTCGAATTCGGAAACGTTTTAAATACACCCTGTACATACAAACACTGCGCGGAAGACAGGAGTGAATGGAGGAACATAGTCCTAACAAAAGTGCTCAGTAAAGGTCACGACCCTCAGAACTGAGGAATGCGACGCACAGAGAGAGAGAGAGAGAAAGTACATACAAAACAATTGTATCGTTTTCTCATTCGGTTTTATGTATGTTTTTAATATGCAACGGATTTTATGTAACGGAATCTTTAAACGTCATTTTCGTCGGCCCCAAGACGTGCGATTTACTTGAAAAGTTTACACACGCGTCAAGGACCGATGACAAAACAATAATTTTATTATTTATATTTAATTATATTATTTTATTATAACTTTAATATCTTGACCGGTGCCAACAGGGTAAAAAAAATGTGGTTTTAATTTGTTAATTCGGTTTGCTGTTTAAGCGTGCATTTTTTTAGTCTTTAAACTACATACTTTATCATTGTTTAGTAGCTATTGACGAGCTTAAGTGCTATAAACAAAATTTCGAGGCGATCATAAGAAAATAATGACAATAAAAAAAAAGTCCAAAAACATTATGTAATAAATAAATGAGTTTGAATCTTAAAGTGTCAATGCTTATGGTCGAATTTCGATCAACGGACGAACGAAACGACTAGATTTTTTAATTTTTTTTTTTATAATTACTAGCGCATTACACACATTTACATATATAAATTTTACATACAGTCGACTCTCGTTAATTCCAACCTGCGATAATTAGAACCTCTCTATAATTCATAGTTATCACGAGTTCCCTACAAAATCTCTTTATATTTCGAACTAAATCAATACATTTTTATGCACTTGGTAATTCGAACGAAAAAAATCATTGCTATATAATAAAACGACGCGTTAATTCGAACTCATCGGCGTCCAACAATGGCAGTTAATAAATAATTATTGTTCAATACTTAGTAATTCGAAGTTTTATTTATTTTCTCTCACAAATTTCGAACCATTTGATATTTCAAACATTCGATAATTCGTAATATTTTAAGAGTCCCTCAAGTTTAGAATTAACGAGAGTCGACTGTATATAAATCGGTATAACAATATATACTTCTTTTGTGTTAATTGTAATTATTAATTGTGCAATTAATCTAATGGTGTTAATTTGGGCCCACATAATTATTATAGCTAAGATGAGGGTAGGTGGGATAGGAGATATTCATTTACAAATGTAATTGTGACTAAATAGGTTTTAGTTTTTTTTTTAAAACATAGATACATTACGTGTTAAGTTTACCTAAATAAATAAAAAATTGTTACTAATATCGTATTGTACTTAAAAATATTGAACAGTTATAATAAAATAAGTAATTTGTACTTAAGATTTAAACAAAGATAGATAAACTATATAAATTTGGGACAAAAAAAACAAAACATTCCCTTAATTTCTTTAGCATTATTTGAGCGAAATATTAATTTCAAAGGCAAGTATTTATTTCTCAATTAACTTTTAACTTTAACTCAATTAACTCCGTTTCTTTTAATCACTTCAATACTTATTCGAATGTTGCCATGATCAAATTTATTAAGTGTAAAATTAATAGCCACCTTCGAAATTTTACTGTTTTTTTTTTAACTTTAGATGGTGAATAAACAGACTAAAAGAAGAACTAGGGGAAATAGCGGAAAATGCATTAAGATGTCTTGTTAGATATTCCATTTGGTACTATCTATCTATCTATTAATAATCGAGTTATAGTGGAAAATCACACCCTGTATGCATATATAATTTTATTCATATTTAATATAATATCTATACTCTATTCCAATTACGAAGTCCCATTTGACAGATGTTATTATTATGTCAGTGTGTGCGTAATTTAATTGTATAACGATTTAGATTGATTGTGTATTTTTAAATAATGATTTACCATAATAATATGATCATGAAAAAAAATGATTATTATTTCAATATATGCGAAAGGTGAAGAGTTACGTTCTAAGAAGTGTCAAAAGGGTCACGTTATCTGGGATCCTCCCGATCCACTAATGATGCTTTTAGGTACCTCAAGCACCGGTCATCGTCCTCGTCGAACCCGTCGCTTGCGACGAAGGGCTCGATGAGTAAATTACCCCCAGGCACGGCCCACTGAGTTTCTCGCCGAATCATCTCAGTGGGTCGCGTTTCCGATCCGGTGGTAGATTCTACGAAGCACGGCTCTTGCTAGGGCCAGTGTTAGCAACGTCGTCAGGTTTGAGCCCCGTGAGCTCATCTACTAGCCCGTCGTCGCTGACATGGTCTCTCTAGACCAGCGGTCGGGGAACCGGGGTAAATTACCCAAAACGGGGTAATATGAAATTATGGGGGGTAAAAATGAAACTTTTGTGAGTAAAAAGTATATTATATTGAAGTGAAACTTCTTTAGAATCGTTGTGATTTCAAATTATCATGAGAGCTATAATATGAAAGATGCTAAAAAGAAGCGATTTCGTTTTTTTTGTTCTTCGCCATGGGGTAATATCAACATACACAAAAAATTTTTGGGGTAATAATTAAAAAAGTTCCCCGACCGCTGCTCTAGACACTCAGTTTAGGTAAGTCAAAAGGGACTTCGTAATTGGAATAGAGTATAAAAATGATGTTCATTTTGTTTGTTCATACTCGAGTCTCGCTGGTGACGTCACAACCTGCGCGTCATCAGCGAGGATCGAGGTAAATTGAGACCGACAGCGCAAAAGGAGCCTAACCCACAATTTGTCATATTCGCGCTTATATATTGTAATTTATTTAAAAGGTAATAAATTTTGATGCAAAACCGGCCTGTCCCTAGTCTCACCCATAGAGAACAGATGGCTTTGTAAACAACCTCATTATCTCCATACTATCTATGATAAGCTTAGGACTAGAGATGAAACGGATAGTGGTTTGGTCGGATACTGGATACCGAATATTCGGCCCTTTTTTCAAATCAAATGAAATTAAAGCTACAAATCAACTTTCGGAAATATTCGTGCGCGTTCGGGTGTTGTCGCACGTGAGCGGACATCGCGACGACTCAGTACGACGACGATTCGGTATTCATTCACCACAATTTGCCACTTGTTAATTTTGAGTATTAAACAAACTAATTGATAAAACAATCACATTTGACGTGCGATTATAAAAATAAAAGTTGTCCAATAAACTATTTATTGTGGTATTAATTGCCTTTTGTATAGCCATGAGATTTTCTTAAATTTTACTATCCGAAATTCGGCCGGATAGCGATTTACTATCCGGTATCCGGCCATGTTTTCACTATCCGGCCGTTACCGGATATCCGTTTCATCTCTACTTTCCAGGTCTCACATCCAAACATTAAAGCACTTTTGGTAACAAAGCCAACTGGATCCGACGAGTTAGGTAACTTAACTACCAGACTAGATTTAACTGCGCAAATGTAATGTAGACTAATTAATTTAAATAAACAATATATCATTTCAGTTTAGACTAAGATAATGAATGAGAAATTTAATGTATTTTTAAACAAAAGACAACTAAAAAGCCATATCCCCTTTGCTTGCTCTCACAGACTACTCACCTCATACTGGGCGGTATCTTAAATAATAAAAATACTAGATGATGACAGAGCTTTGCTCGGTTTTTTTTTTAATAACACCATCTTGTTGTGTCTTTAAAGCGGTTAGTTGCCCTCAATTAAGAAAAATAGTATTATTATTCGCCAATAGATGTCGGGAAGAGTTGATTATTGAAAACACGAATAATACAACATTTTCTGAAAATAAATCGTAGCTAGATCGATTTATCGCCCCGAAATCCCCAGTATACTAAATTTTATGAAAATCGTTGGAGCCGTTTCCGAGATTCAGATTATATACATATAATAATATATTAATATACAAGAATTGCTCGTTTAAAGGTATAAGATTACATAGCTAATGTATTATGTGAAAATCTTAACAACGGGACTTTTTCTGTGAAAAAATAGTGAAAACATGGCCGGATAGGCCGGATACCGGATAGTTACCGGATATCCGTTTTATCTCTACTTAGGATACTTTTGCGCTGACTGCCTCAATTACAAGTCACCGGAATTGCATTTTCCGCTCGTCCCTGGAGCCTGTGCGGCTCCGCGAGTGGTGGTGGCGTTACCAACCGGGCGCGGTGTTGGCGAGCCTCCGCATGCGCCTGGTGTTCCGGTCCTGGTCCCGGATCTTCTTCTCCATCTCCGCGTTGGTGAGGGTCTCCAGGTGCGGGGCCCACTGCTCGGCCTCCGACGGGACGCGGTACGGCGTCTGTGTAGCAATTTGAGGATGTTCGGATGACAAGTGGTAATGGGACCCCGGGGACTTCATAATAAAAGAGTTGGTTTTTTGGAGTTGGTAAATGCGCCACCAACCTTGAGATATAAGTTCTTAGGTCTCTGTACAGTTACAACGGCTGCCTCATCCTTCAAACCGAAACGCATTACTGCTTCACAACAGAAATAGGCAGGGTGGTGGTACCTACCCGCGCGGACTCACAAGAGGTCCTATCATCAGTAAAAATGGTATCATCTGAAATGATGGTATCATCTCAAACAATTCCTCAGAGCGCTCCCCACGGAACATACGGTACAAAATACAGAGGGAGCCGAAGTCCCTCTGCAGACCCTGAGGTTCCAAAGAGTTCCAAGAGTTGTAATCAAAGGTGCGTTTTATTTGGTGTCAGTATCAACAGTTCGATTTTTTTAATTGAATTTCAATTAAGTTTACTCCATTCAAATATCTGAAGAAGTTTTCTTTAATATTTTCCAAATTCTAATCTTTAAATGGCTCTTCTGTAAACAGGCCTTCAACCCCTCGATATACTGTGAACAGAAATAATGAATTGTTCAAGTGCATACCCGATCCTGTAGACCGAATGGTAAACAGTTGACGTCGCCCAAAACACGTCATTACGGATTCTCCAGATCCACTAACGGTGTTTTTAGGTACTTCAAGCACCGGTCATGGTTAATTTACTCGTCGAGCCCTTCGTCGCAAGCGACGGGCTCGACGAGTAAATTAACCCACAGACAGCCCACTGAGTTTCTCGCCAGATCTTCTCAGTGGGTCGCGTTTCCGATCCGGTGGTAGATTCTACGAAGCGCGGCTCTTGTTATGGTCAGTGTTAGCAGCACTCCGGTTTGAGCCCCGTGAGCTCACCTACACACGTTAGGGTGAAGTAGCCTCTCAAGGCTATCAGCATAGGTAGGATTAAAAAAAGTAGCATATATGTGGTGCGCACCTCGACCACGGGTAGGGGCGCCTCGCTGAAGGCGTAGGTCCGCTGGTGCCAGCCGAGCTGCCCGCGCACGGAGTAGGCGATGCCGGTCACGAACTCCCCGCCGAGGCCCAGCTCCGAGCACAGCTTCATCGCGAACTGCTCCGGGTTGTTCTCCTTCTCGGCCATGTCCCACTCCACCTGGTAGACCAGTCATACATTCAATACCAAATAGCAAATATACAGCGTAATATCTTTATACATAAAGTATATATATACTAGCTGTACCCGACCGCTTCGCTGGCTATTTAAAATTAACATTATTACTTCTCACCCCCCAAAGATTCATCTTCATTAACGCCCCCGCAACTGGTGTAGGGAGTCTAACACTCATATAAATATTAGCCTATCCATTAAGTACATGTATTTTCTATATGGATATCAAGTTTCAAGTCAATCGAATGCATGGTTCAGTAGTTATAACGGAACATCTGTAAAACCCACTGTAGATTTCTATATAAGTATAGAGTATAGATTTCTTCTATGGGTGTGTATGTCACTAAACTCCTCCTAAACGGCTGGACCGATTTGAATGAGTTTTTTGTATGCGTTTGGGTGGCTCCCTGGATGGTTTAGATTCACAAACCAACCCGGCAGATGGCGCTGCAGTCGGTATCTAGGTTATTTATCTATACTGCAACTATACGGCTGGATCGACTTGAATGAATTTTTGCAGGACGTCTGTCGGGTCCACTAGTCCCTTTTTTATATTAAATAATAATTTTTGTATAATTTTTACTGGTGGTAGGACTTTTTGTGAGTTCACACGAGTAGGTACCACCATCCTGCCTACTTCTGCCATGAAGCAGTAATGCGTTTCGGTTTGAAGGGTGGGGCAGCCGTTGTAACTATACTTGAGACGTTAGAACTTACATCTGAAGGTGAGTGGCGGCACATACGTTAATTTTGTAACGTGAACATACCTGATCTACCAGCGAAGTGTTTCCAACGTGTATATTAAGTTTGACGAGGACCCTCTGGTCGGTGTGCTCCTCCAGTATGGGGGGAGGCTCGCTCGGGAAGGCATCGATCTGTTGCCGGATCGAGGAGGCCACAGCCGGTATGAAAGTGCTCGTGTTCAACTCTAAATCATCGCACAGCACCTCGGCAAACTGTTCTGGTGTTATTATTGATTCTGGAAAATATTCTTCTACTTTTTATTTATTCAAAAATTTATTAATAGGCTGCCTGCCATCCTTGTGAGAACATACACATCATGGATATAAAAATTAAGGAGCGTATTCCTAAATTTATGTAAGGGTTGTACTTAAAGAACAATATAGAACAGTGATTCCCAAAGTGGTCTATATCGACCCCTAGGGGTCTATGACAACCTGCAAAGGGTCTACGTCAGCGAAAAAAAATTTGGGGGTCCACGATAGTGGATCTCAACACATACACTGATAGTACCTATTTACTTACATCATACTATCTTATAATATCAAGACATCATTAGCCAAGGAGATTTAAGATTAACCCTTACAAAATTAACGCCAAATGTTGATAATTTATTATTAAAGCATCCGGTTCATCCTTCTCACTACAAATATTGACTTATTGCTTATATTATTTTACTTATAGTTTATTTTATGTTACGTATATTTTACATAACAGATAAATTTTATTTTGAGTAGTTTTAATTTAAATTCAATTAATAAATGTATAAATTAACATGTGTTTTTACTTGAAGTTTTTAACACTAAACTTTACTACAGTGAGAAATTTACAGCAAATCAATATCAGGTAAGTAGGGGGTCTACCCAACACGGAAAAACATGGCAAGGGGTCTACGACACAAAAAAGTTTGGGGAACTCTGATATAGAATGAAAACGATAAAACATTAAAAATATTTTAACCAAATTTATAGGGCGCATTGGAACTGTTCCTGTGATCCAAGATAGTTGGACAAGGTCCATCTGATCTTCAGCACTTACTGCAGCCCAACGATTTTCATTAAGCATGATTAAAGAACTTTATAAAGAATAGTATAGTTAAAGATATAAGAAAATGTTATTATATCTTTTCTATTGACAGTCGATACAATTCACTATAAATACAGCCAATCTATATAATTTGGTAGACAGCAATTACACATTCTATTATTCAAATACTTTCTGGAATAAAAATTTTAGATTTAATAAGCAGAATTGGTAACAAATGCAGTTAGACATACCATTTTTATTCCATGTAAATGTATCCCTGAGTTTTTGACCCTCAATCTCCATGTCCAATCGAATGGGTACAAGCACCTGCTTTTGCGAAGCATTCTCCAGCATTGCAGTCATGTCTGTGTCATCGAAACACAGTGGGAATGTTCTCACCTGAAAAGTATTCATTTTGTGCTAGTTTTAATAATGACTAGACGATGACCGATGAACATTTTCTGAAAATAAATCGTAGCTACATCGATTTATCGCCCCCGAAATCCCATTTATACTAAATTTTATGAAAATCGTTGGAGCCGTTTCCGAGATTCAGATTATATACATATATATTAATATACAAGAATTGCTTGTTTAAAGGTATAAGATACTATAGAACTATAGTATATTACATTAGTTCCAATGTTCCATTCCAAAATGTCTTATTTATCTTACGATGTGCCTCTGATTTTGAGATATTTATTCTATTTTCAACAATATCTTATTATCACTAATGTTCCATTTCACTTTCAACTATATATCCTGGATCAAAAGCTAAATGAAATGTGTTGTGTTGAGCTTAGAGTGTGGCCTCATGTCAAACATGATTAACTAGGTAAACCTAAGAGTAAGGACCTGAAGCCCAACTGGGCTTTAGGTTTTGACTTTAAAATCCATGTTACCTTCTTATTATGCACCCTACTCCTGCTGATTGGAGTAGCCTGGGGTACAGCATCCAAATGAGAAGAGTTTGGCATGACTGGCAGCCATGATGGAGTGTGTGGCTTCTTGCTTTTGCTCTCACGGGGTGTCGCCAATTCTTGGCTGACGGACACTGCTTTGTATCTATAAATTAATTTAAAGCTGTGTCATAGCTGTAAATAGTTTAATTGACAACTGCTGTTTCATATACAATTCATAGTATTTAAGATTTTCTTGATATGCACACGGCAACTGACCGGAACCCATGGAGACTGGCAGTCGACAAGCTGAAACGGAGTCACAATCCTCAGCAATGAGGGAGCGATGAAGAAGAAGAAAGATATGCACACATTTTGTTTTTTTTTATTGTCCTTAAAATAAGACAAACATACAATTCTTCTGATGGTAAATAGTTAATGTCGCTCGTGGACTTCAATAGTCCCAGGTGCTCACCAAAACTTTAAGGTCTAATGTTTCGACTGACTACTTCAGGTAGCTTCACTTATCATAAGATGGATTATGAACTCATTCACCCATCTATGCTAACACAGTAATTGTCGCTTATAATATTTCACTAAATGTTTATAATAACGTACTTATCATCATTCCCTTCAATAATGTCTTCAACTTCTGACGCCTTCAACAGTGAAACTGAACTGGACAGCACATGAGGTCCAAGACCGTTGTCAATTAATCGCTTACGTTCTTCATTGGTGAGGGTACGCCGGCACATGCCAGGGTACTTCTTGTAGAGTGACCCACGGAACAAACGCAGGTAATTCCCGACCTAATGCAATAGATAATTTTAAGCGGGCATAAGACTAATGAAAATACAACATCTGGAAGTCTCGAATTAAAACTGCTGTTTTCGACGCCACAATATAATTTTGCATAGCTTTTAATGAAAACCACTGTCACTGTGTAATCATTTAAATTATTTGTGATAAAAATGACAGTAGTTAGTACAGTGTTAATATGCCATGAAAAATGATAATAAAATGAATATAATAAGTACGAAATTAGACCTTTTTTATACAATTCAGAAACACTGAAGAAAATACATCATTGCTCATCTAAAAAAATAAGAGCAGAAACAGCACTGGGTGCCACAACTTGTTTTAATTTAGTAGACTGCAAGCAATCACTGTCGTTTAATAGAATTCATAATGGCGCATTAGAAATTTCTACTGTGTAGAGTAGAAGATTATAGTGAGAAATTTCACATTAACACTGAATTATGCAACTAGATACAGAAAAAAGATAAAAAGTACAGTATAGTATCTTAAGCCAGTAAGTAGTTAAAATGGACTGAAACTTTCATGATTTGTATCTCTTTAACTAAAATCTTAGGTTTCTTAGCTATTGATGTTATTGTACATGTATATGTATTTGGGATTTTGTTAGATATGGATGGAGTTTTAAAGAATTGTCATTAAAGGGCAACATAATTATTACAGCTCAGTTTTGCCTTCTACAGAAATTCCTTAGTTATTTTATCTCCAAAATTTGTATTCCATTTTCATAAGGGTGATATAGACCGATTGTTCTATTTTTTATCTTATACTTTGATGGACAATAAACTATAGACTGCTTTACAGTAATGGAAAACAAGCCTCATCGAAATAAGAATAATTCTAAAAGGCAAGTTTGTCTAATAGACCAGATTGAGGTTAAGGACGATGTTCTTCGACAAAAGAGTAGCTCCGTTAGTGAATGAAATAATTTTTAATTTTTGATTCTTTAAAATTATAATATTTGGAGTAGTTCGATGTATTTTAATCAAGAAATTTAAGGAACTTACCTCTGACCCAACACAATAAAAGTCTCCTCCTTCTTCGATTTGAAAACTTATCGGCTTATCGCCGTACGTACGTAAGGCCATTTTTGTAGTTGTGTCGTTCCTTTGATAAAATAATTACATTAACTTCAAGAATTGTAATGTTAATTTGGTAAGGGTAAAATTTATAAATCGTTTCTGTGAATATTTATGTATCCAATTTTTTTTTTATTTTATGACCTGGTAACGTACACCTTTAGGTCATATATTATTTGGAAACTAATGTAACCAATTTTTTTTTAGACTTTTTGGCGGGAACGCGGGGAGTGAAATTGTGTGATTTGTTTTATTTTATCTATTTAGTGTTTCGTCGGGTTTAAATGTGTGATAACGGTGGTTTATTACCCGTTTAATATCTGTGAAAGTGCACAAATGTGGAGAACGAAACAAAGCCACTGGACGTAACTTCTTGGGATCCTCCCAAAAGTCCACTGAAAAAATCTCAGTGAATGACCATCATTTTACTGAGATTATATTTCATCCCATATCATCTCATCTTATTTCCTTTAATTTCATCTCAGTTGATTAATGTCTCAAATTAATCATATTCATTTCATTTCATTTCATTTCATTTCACTCCATATTATCAGTTTTCATAAAAATAAGAATATAAATTAAAATAAGACATGACTTAAAAGTCTAGGCTACCAAGTAATAAAATCCCTTAAACAAAAAACATTGAGGGAGTTATAATAGAGTCCCTTCTTTATTTCGCCGTAATGTCGTCTTTTATGTAATTAACACCACAGTTGAAACAATAGAAATTTTATTGTTGTAGCAGCATAAATAATTCTAAGATATAGTATTATATTAGTTATTAAACACATTATAATATTTTTTACGTTTTAAATTTTCAGCGGTAAAAAGGTCCCGTGACACAGACTATATTCTTTTTCCCACCTCTCGTGCGTTCCGGCTTACGCATCATTAAAAGGTGCATTCATAAACGCCACAACATTATAATATTTGTCACTTAAATATAGTTCATAGACTATACACATATTTTTAGCATAGAGTATGATTATGTTTATTTAATATAACCTAAATTTTTAGTCTGAAATTAAATGTCGTAGGGGAGTGTCGTCGCAGTCGTTGCGAATTTCAAAAGTGCTCGAAAAAGAGACCATGTCTTCACGGCAAGGAACATTCAAAAACCCATTCTCCAGACCGTGGATGTCGGAGACAGGTGCAGCGGCTGCGGCTGGTGGTTCGGGTTCAGTAGGCTTAAAAGGAGTTGTAGCCGGCGGGATAACAGGAGGCATTGAAATTTGTATTACATTCCCAACTGAATATGTAAAAACACAACTGCAATTGGATGAAAAAGGTAAATAAAGCACGCCACAATTATCCGAACTAAGTTTGTTAACTAATTGGTGTTTTTCAATTCATAAATTCATTCAAATTTTATTTTTGTCTTATGATTTTGTATATACGTCATACGTGATTTTCCTGCTGTAGCGTAAATCTGTAGTTGAATAATTATGAATAAAGGGTTCTTTAGCACAGGAATTCAAGTTTTAAGTAATTGTAACTAATCAACGTCTTTTTTAACCTTAAAATTTAAAACCAAAGGTTTCCATTACAAGTACATTTTACTGTGTAAACAACTGGAAATGGACTTTGTTCTTTTTTTCTAATATCTTCAAGGTTATTCTAAATTAGCATTGAATTTCTTCTGCCTTGCCTACGATATAGGTATACTACTACTACTTAATCGATTATTATTTATTAGTTAGTTAAATACTTAAATTATGTTTTGAAAGGAAACAAATGAGAAAATAATTGCTTAAATTGAAGTTGCAAAGTATTCAATATCAAATTAACTAACAAGTTCTATTACTAAAAGTAAAAGTTTTTCCTTATTTTTTCTCTTTTTAAACCAACTTCAAAAAAAAGGAGGTTCTCAATTTGATTGTTTTATAAATGTTATGTCATAACTTTATTCCGAGTGAACCGATTGTCTTATTTGAAAGCTGGTCTGTATTATGTGGTCACATTTAAATTTTCTCAAGATGTGATCAACAGTTTTTAAACTATCCCCAATAATGCATATTTAATTGATTTTTACCATATGAATTATTATTATATCATCATCATCATTATATTGTTAATGTAAAATGTACAAAAGAAAACTGTCGCCATCCAACCATCTTTCAAAAACGATCATCATAATTTGATTATTTCATGGTTGTGCCCCATTTTAATTTGGTGATGTTGTAATGAAGATCTGCAGTCACATACAATCTATACAATCTACATACAATCTCTCTCTCTATATATATATATACAATCTCTATACAATCACAAATATCTATGGTGATATGATATCTATCTGGTGGATGGGCTATGTATCTGCCTACAAAGCAAAAAATATGTTATCACTCTAGCAGAGTAGTTAGTAGCTTTTTTGCCCCCAAGAGAGTAATTATCATAGGATCTACAATTATACATGTTATCACTTTAAAAATTACATTAAAGACTAAAATTCTAAAGTAAATAATTCATAATGTGAACGATAATGTTATTATCTTGTATTTGTAAAGCAAGTCATATGCAATATTTGCATAGTAATAATATACTGATATAAGTGATTGCATTATTTAGGTTGATTTGATTTTAATTGGTCTGATTTGGTTTTCAACTAAAATATGACTTGCTCACAGCAAAGAAACTTTATTTTAAGTTTATACTGTATGTAGCTTCCAGTAAAATAAAATTATGAATTAAAATGCCTTTTAGAATCTATTTTATTCAGTATTTGGTTCGAACATTGGGTTCACTGAATTTCGAAATGATCATTAATGAACAAAAAATTCCTGATTCATGTAACATATTAATTAACTTTATAGTTTTTATAAATAATTTCTAAACGATAGAAAGAGTATTATGGGACTTAAAAATCTCAGTATAAAAACTGTTTAAATAACATAATTTTAAATTTGAAGGCCAAGCAGCCTAGAACAATAATTGTAACAATATTATAGACATGCTTTAACAAAAATCGACTTCAAATAGAAAAAAAAGATATTCCTAAACAAATTAATATACACTAAAACAATAATCATCAAAATTGGTTGGTGTGATATTGAATTATTCATCTATTTGCAGTACATATACATAATGCAAATTTAAGACTTATATGGTTATCTCATGGATGCCATTATCAGAACTGGACCAGAGGGGAAGCGTTAGCTTTCTAATAAAAAAAGAATTATCAAAATCGATTCATCCAGTCAAAAGTTATGAGGTTTAAAAAAAAAACACAGTAAAAAGAAACTATTTATTTTAGGATTTTGTAACTCCAACCTAATTTATTAAACAATGTAATGCACAATGCCAAAGCAAATATAATGCCATTTGATATGATCAAATTATTGACACTATAATGAAAATGTTGCTACCACTTTGCAACCCTAGAACAAAGTCCCAATTTTATTATACAATGCGTGCTGCTTCCTTCAAGCTATGATTCAAGGCTACTTTGCGTTTCAAAAAAAGACAGAATCAAAAGCAAAAGTTCCTCACACTGAACTTGTCAAAGTCATTATATAGATCAATCATAGTGCCTATTCAAGATGTTGAAAATGTCTATTATACCTTGCTCTCTATTGGATAGTATTAGTAGTGTTCTGTTTGAAGCATGAACAAACATATTTAGCAACATTGTTTGTTTAATGATTACAATGCGTAAGGACATGATAATAATTTTGACAAGATAACTTCTAAAGATTCCACAGCTTTTAATAATTAAATAGAAAATATGTGCTGTGAATCATGAGGGATTTATTAACGAGAATTACGATCAGTAATTTAATAAAAAATGAAACTTATAATAACGTTGGTCTCTTCGTCGTTCGTAAAATAACTTGGTGGGTGGCGCATTTACGTCGCAGATATCTATGGGCTCCAGTAACTACTTAACACAAGGTGGGCTGTGAGCTCGTCCACTTATCTAAGCCATAAAAATCTTCTAGGGAGCTGAAAACTTGAAGGACGACTTAAGTCTATTGTTCAAAAGGAGTACACTTTGCAAGTATTTCCTAGGTGAAAAAAAAGAAGAAAAAAGACAAAAACTTTATTTTCTTTCAAAAAAAATTTTTCTTCGTTTTTTTGCTAAATGAGGATGTTCATCTAATAATGTAGTCACATCCGAACAACTTTCATTTTGCATATTAAATTTGACTGTTAAGACGGCAGATAATGTTTTTACAGAAAGTTGCGACTTCTCACTGCTCCAATAATCATTCCCTAGTGAAAATACCCTTTCAATAGCACCATTAGTACATGGATAGCATAAGGAAATTTCTATTAAAACTTTTAAATTTTCATCTGGGATATATTCTAACTCTAAAATGCCGAAAGATTTCGAAAGATTAAATTATACAAATGAGTACTGAGTTGAGTAATGAGTTGGAGTACATGAATTGTAAAGAGTACGGTTTGCAAAAAAAAAGTACAAAACTCAGTAATTGAGTATAGTATCACCTTATTTAAGTTTTTTTTTATTGCTCTTGTTGGCAGACGAGCATACGGCCCACCTGCTGGTGAATGGTTACCGTCCCCAATGGACTTCAGCAATGCCAGGAGCAGAGCCAAGCCGCTGCCTACCGTATATATACATACGGTAGGCAGTAAGTAAACATACTAAACATTCCCTCCATACTGATAAATAAAAATCATCGACATAACTCGGAGATTCGACTAGTTGAAATGGCAGAGGACTAAAGGACGATCGCTGGAGCACACATCCGTGTGTGTAGAATTTGCACCGACAAATTTACCGCTCCGTAATGTGGGGCGCACCTCGGCTAGATGCAGTGAAGATTTGCGAAGGAAGAAATGTATGAGGAGAGTCGATGACCGAGTTCATTGGTGTAAATTGGAATAGACCTATATCCAGTAGATGACTCTGAAATATCCGGTCATCGTTCTCGTCAAACCCGTCGCTTGCCACGAAGGGCTCGACGAGACACAGCACACTGAGTTTCTTGCCGGATCTTCTCAGTGGGTCGCGTTTCCGATCCGGTGGTAGATTCTGCGAAGCATGGCTCTTGCTAGGGCTCGTGTTAGCAACGTAGTCAGGTTTAAGCCCCATGAGCTCACCTACTAGTTAAGGTTACGCTGAAATAGCCTCTCATGGCTATCAGCTTAGGAAAAAAAAAACTGAAATATCTTTTGATATTAGTAGTCTGGATATTTTACAGTTCAGATGAAGAACGAAGCGAAAATCACACATTCTTTCACAGTTCCAAAGACGAAATATTTAGTAAACGGACAACCCCATAGAGCATCTAAACCACGTCCTTAGGATCCATCAGATCCAATAACCTTTGCATTAGACATGCATCAGCCCGCTGAGTTTGTCGCCAGATCTTCTCAGCGGGTCGCGATTCCGATCCGGTAGTAGATTCATTCGCGAAGCAGCTGCTCTTGAGTTGTTAGGTCTCCTTCGGAGGCGCTCGGGCAGCTGTTAGCAAGTCCCACTCCTCCTGGCCGAGCCTTTGCTCGCCCACCTGTCCTGGCGAAACTGGAAAGGTCTCCGGGCCAGCAGTAATTCTTCGATCATAAATAAGCACCTAAATATGTCCCGTTTCTTGGCATTAACCAATCTACTTTCAATCACGACACATTGATTTGTATGAGGTCAAATGATTTGTTTGTCCACTTCTTAGCGTTTCATTTAAAATAAATATATGCTTTCAAGGTTGCGTTTCAATGATGTTAATTGTTATATATATATGTTATAAATAGGAAAATATAAAAAATAAACAAAGATAACTTTAAGTTTGAATCTTACATCTGTTTTTTTATTTATTTTTTTATAGCTTAGATGGTTGGACGAGCTCACAGCCCACCTGGTGTTAAGTGGTTACTGGAGCCCATAGACATCTACGACGTAAATGCGTCACCCACCTTGAGATATAAGTTCTAAGGTCTCAGTATAGTGACAACGGCTGCCCCGTCCTTCAAACCGAAACGCATTACTGCTTCACGGCAGAAATAGGCAGGGTGGTGGTACCTACCCGTGCGAACTCACAAGGGGTCCTACCACCAGTATTGTCGTCGGTTCTTGAAGCGCATACCAAAGATTACGTTAAGTACAAACATAAATATAATAATATACCAAGCCAACAAAAACGCGTTGAAAATAAATAACCATGCATTGGATTCTCCATCGGCAATCTTCGTGTTCTATCATCGGATCTCCAAGGTTGTTATTCTCAATTGATGGAAACATTTCTGTGCGTGTGCAATATAGAATCTATTTAAATAACTGGATTCTAATTTTGATGCTCTGCATGCTGGCTATTTTGGCTACGGTTTGATTTCAATAATCATAAGAAGATGAATAGTATTTATTTGTATTTAATCGTATGTAAGTCTATCTTATATTGTATTTATTTTTCACATTTTTTTTTATTGCTTTGATGGGTGGACGAGCTCAGAGCCCATCTGGTGGTGTTAAGTTGTTACTGGAGCCCATAGATATCCACAACGTAAATGCGCCACCCACCTTGAGATATAAGTTCTAAGGTCTCAAGTAAGTTACACATGTGTATATAAGTATAATAGCCGGCAAACTTCTTGAGCATTTGTTGACGTAGTGGGGGTAAGTTTGCGCATGGTACACTCACGTGCAAAAACCTTATTTACTCTGCGTCATAATGCAATTAAATTATTAAAATCAACATATGTATTTATTTATATATTTATTAGAACATCAACAAAAAATATAGGTTAATAATTATAATAATTTAATCTTGGGGTAAAATAGATATTCCTTCTATTAAGTCAAAACTAGAGCTGTTGCCAGGTCTTCGTTCAGTTGAAGCGAAGCTGGTATTTGTAATTTTTTTTTCGTTATCATAATCTTGACCATTATCATCATCACTGTTTTCATCACCCGAGTCGCCATCATCGTGATAAGTCGACATAGGGCTCATCGGTGTAGTTTACGACTCGGTCGGTTCGATCTTCTTTTTTGTCTATAATTAATTATTTTTTGAAGATATTCGATTCGTAGTAATCGAATGTTACTTTTTTCAATTACCAGCTTCCGATTATTTTCTGTTTTTTTTTTCCATCTGAAGCCTAGCTCTTTCATAATTCGTCGTAAGCTTCATTCCGAGCCATTAAAATTTATATCTTCTTTAAATTTTTCGAAGCCTTTCTACGGTACGGAGTTTCGCTGCTTGTTATGTAGTTATTATGATTACATCTTTTTATTACAGATTGAACGAAACTATCCATTCCGGTAACTTTCTTCTTCCCTGATCTTTTCTTACCCGGAGTCCGAAACACGGCGAGCAAGCCAGAGCCTTTAGCTTCGTTAATAATGCACCTAACAGTACTCACTGATGTTTTTGTTGCTTCCGAAGTCTGTTTTAATTTTTCCATATCATTCTTCCCCTGTTTTATAATGAAGCAATATACGTCGTACACAAATTTTCTACCCTTTCTTTTAAGTACTACACCAGTTTGTCACGGCATAGTGTATGTTTTATAAAAAATCAACAAACACTCAACAAATAGCAATGGCAACAAAGTCCACAAGCAATTATAACAAATAACTTAACGATTAATAACGATAGACTTTTCACTGTACGCAAGCGTACTTTTGGGAGCAAGCGGAACGAAGGCGCGGTGCGGGACGCAAGGTTCGACTGATCTACCAATAACGCGCTCGATACGATTTCCCCTGCCGTCGCGCCTCACCCTCACCACCAAAGTGATCTAAAATTCGGTTCTGCGCAGTCAAGGTCATTTGCTCACGATGTTTGCCGGTTACTATATATATTTTTATGTAAGTTTATTCAGATATAGCACCGTCCATGCTAGTTTGCTTATTCCTCTCTGCAAGATTGTCTGGATGAGGCCGCCAATTTATATCACCGTCTATTATTTGTTTTATATGCTTACTCTGTACATGTGGTGTCAAATGAAGAGTTATTAGTATTAAGATGAACAATTACTATGGTTTTTTTCTTTCATTAGCTTACCCTGTAACAATATACATTACGGAATTTTCACTAACATCAAGGCGCGTCCGACTTACTTTAGAATTTGCATATGTACAAGATATGTGATACTTTTAAAATACATACGAGTGTATTCGGGAGTCTAGGGGGCGGGTGAAATTTTTTCAAAGAAATTCGTTCGATAAGGCTTTAACGCACGCATCTACGCATATATTGATTATAGACGCATATTATATAATACTACCCGTACTCGCCCGCTTCGTTGGGCATTTAAAATGGCATTATTATTTCTCACCCCCACAAAGATTCTCATCATTAACGCCACCGCAACTGGTGTAGGGAGTCCAACGCTCATATAAATATTAGCCTATCCATTAAATACATGTATTTTCTACATGGATACCAAGTTTCAAGTCAATCGGATGTATGGTTCAGTAGTTATAACGGAACATCCGTAAAAACCACTGTAGATTTTTATACTAGTATAGATAGATAGTAGTATAGTATACTACTATAAATTATTTCCTTATATTTTATGTTAGATCGATTCTCGTTATCGTTTTGTCTTGTTTGATCGTGCGCACATGGCCTATGTTACAAGTCAGATATTTGTTTTACTTGTTGTTACTTATTATGTATCATTTTAGCTTGTAATGTGTATTGTGTGCCTAATAAATAAATGAATATATATCGCGCACTACCTCGAATGATACACATCTCCAGAGCTCTCATTAGTACTGTATAACCTACGCTTTAAGACCGGTACAAATCGGCGATCCATACCTGTGTGAACCCGCATAATATCCTATCGATAACAAATAAAAGTATGTTGTGTGAGTTTAAATGGTGTTTGATTTTCTTATAAGGAAAATACTGTTACTGTGTCAAGTACATTGTACAGAGGCCAAGAGCTTAGGTTTCATTACACCATTTACCAGATATTTTAAAGGGACTATATATACCTAATCGATAATCCCATTCTCACGGATCGTTTGGAACCTCTGGGTCTGTGGAGGAACTTGGGTTCCCTCTGTATTTTGTACCGTATGTTCCATGGGGAGTGCTCTTGAGGAATTGTTTGTGATGATACAATCATGTCGTTTTCACCATCGCACTGCCCGCCACCGGAGTAGAGTTCATCTATATTACCTGGAGCCATTGCGATCATCCACAGTGCGTTTCCCATGATATTTTTTGCCACGTACCATCCGGCATTGGAATGAGCTCCCCTCCACGGTGTTTCCCGAGCGCTATGACATGTCCTTCTTCAAACGAGGCTTGTGAAGAGTATTAAGCGGTAGGCAGCGGCCTGGCTTTGTCCATTGCTCTGGCATTGCTGATGTCCAAGGGCGACAGTAACCACTTACCATCAGGTGGGCCGTATGCTCGTCTGCCTAAAAGGGCAATGGCACAAACTGGGAAACGTTTAAAAACGAACATCATGATAGTTCCGTATGCAAATTTTAGAGAGAGAGAGAGAGAGTGAGAGAGAGGAGTATTCATTATTGTACACAAAAAAAAGACAATGCGAAACATTAAATACAAAAAAGTACAATTGGCGGTCTTATCGCTAAGAGCGATCTCTTCCAGACAACCATCAGGTTTTACGCAAACATTAACTATATACAGTAATCTATGCGAAGGCAAATGTTAACTGGGGGCAAGAATTCCCTTTAGATCGAAAAGTCCGATATTAATTGGCCCTAAAACCTTCATTGTAACTTTAATTTTTTCAGGTGGTACCAGAAAGTATAACGGTATAGCGGACTGCGTCAAGAAGACAGTGAAAGGACATGGTTTCTTCGGGCTTTATAGAGGTCTCAGCGTGTTGCTATACGGATCGATACCGAAATCTGCTGTCAGGCACGTAACTATCTATACTTATTACTTATTTACTTATATATATTATATATCTATACATATAAATAAAATTCGAGTGTCTGTTTGTAACATTGAAATAACCGCTTTTTACTACATGCTTAAGAATATACGGCACATACACCAAAATAACATTTTATTTTTAATTTTTGTCTGTCTGTCTGCCTGTCTGTTTGTTCCGGCTAATCTCTGGAACGGCTGGACCGATTTTGACGAGACTTTCACTTATAGGTAATGATATAAGGAGTAACTTAGGCTACTTTTTTTTAGACTAGCTTCGCCCCGCGGTGTCACCCGCGGTACGACAATAACCGCGGGTAACATCACGGGACTCCGCTATCAATAATAAAATTTAATGTTTCCGAAGCGAAGCGAGGGCGGGCGCTAGTAATATTATAAAGCTGAAGAGTTTGTTTGTTGGAACGCGTTAATCTCAGGAACTAGTGGTCCGATTTGAAAAACTCTTTCAGTGTTAGATAGCCCATTTATTGAGGAAGGCTATAGGCTATATAAAATCAGGCTAAGATAAGAACACCAGTAAAGAATGTTTCAAAATCGGGTTTTTTTTCCCTTTTGAGAGTTTCCGCTGCGTGCGCTGCAGAAACGGTTAAATAATGTATGACAGAATTGTTCCCCTTTAAAAGATCTAAAAAAAGTCCGCGACAGCATATGTCTATATATCTTGTTAAGGTGGGCTCACTATAACGTTTTTTAAGCTAACCAAATTTGTTCTAAAATAAAGCATTATTTGTGAACTATTCCACGCGGACGACGTCGCGGGCAAAAGCTAATTTGAATAATAAATTAATTTATTTCATTCTTTACTATTGCAATTTGGAGATAGGTTTACTACGAGCCCCGATGCAAAATAATTCGTCTAGTGTGAATTTTTCTGTGTGACATTTTGAGAGCTTGCTTTGAGAGCAAAGGCGACACAACTAAGTGGTAAACGGTAGGCAGCGGCTTGGCTCTGCTCCTGGCATTGCTGATGTCCATGAGCGATGGTAACCACTCACCATCAGGTGGGCCGTATGCTCTTCTGCCTATATGGCAATAAAAAAAAAGAACTATTTTACGTGAGTGACAAGGGTAGACGAATACTTTTGGCGTTATATTTTTTAGAATATTTAAAAAATATATATATTATGTAAAGTCTTTCTTTCTAAATGGTTTACTTTTTATTAAAAGTTCTTATTTGTTTTACCGATATTTATTTTCTATATTTTACGCTTTGCACTACTTTCCATACTAGTACGGAGGCTCGTATAAGTCCGGGCTGGGACTACGTTCCTAAGAGTCTTTGGCGTGAAATGCCCTTTCGTATGGTATTGTCCTATAAAGCCCCAGTATGTGTGTATTTCAATCGATAGGTACACCGCGTGTAATTCGTTTCCAAATTATTCTTAGCTACCTGATGGTTGTCTGCAAGAGATCCTTCTTAGCAATAAGACTGCCAATTGTACTTTTCTTTGTATTTAATATTACGCATTGTTTATTTATTTTGGTGTACTATTATATAATACTCTCCTTCTCTCTCTCTTTCTCTCTCTCTCTCTCTCAAACCCACACTTTAAACATTTATTCAAACAAAACCAGACCGTCAAACAGCTTGAATATAAAAATAAATAAAATACAAAAATGAAGGTCGGTTCGGAGTTGTGTCAATGTCATCGCACCAGCTCGTAGTATCTTATCTCGGTGATTGTCGATCACGTATATGAAACGGGACCGCTGATGTAATAATGTAAATGTTTTATTTCGATTGGCCGATATTATTGTGTTATAACTATCGCTTAGTGCGTGAAGAGGTAGATCAATCACTCTGTTACGCAAAGAATGCTGCTCTGTACAAATTTACTGAAATTCGATTAACGTTTACCCAAATTTTTAGATTAATTCAAACTCGTAAGTGGAATTTTTAAACAACACACTTTACTGATGGTAGGATGTGAGTCCGCACGGTTAGGTACCACAACCCTGCCTATTTCTGCCGTGAAACAGTAATGCATTTCGGTTTGAGGGGTGAGGCAGCCGTTGTACAGTAAAAACTGAGACCTAAGAACTCATATCTCAAAGTAGGTGGCGGCATTTCGTTGTAGACTTTAACCCTCAGACGCAGCCCACTGAGTTTCTCGCCGGATCTTCTCAGTGGGTCGCGTTTCCGATCCGGTGATAGATTCTGCTAAGCACGGCTCTTGCTAGGGTTCGTGTTAGCAACGTCATCAGGTTTGAGCCCTGTGAGCTCATCTACTAGTTAAGGCGACGCTGATGTAGCCTCTCAAGGCTATCAGCTTAGGTAAGAAAAAAAAAAGTAGATGTCTATCGGCACTTAACACCAAGTGGGCTGTGAAATCGTCCACTCATCTTAGCAAAAAATTAAAATAACAAAAAATAAGAAAAAAAAACTCAATTATAAGCGTCAAACGTTATGTTCAATGTGTTCAAACAATACGAATGCACTAAGTATATTATTCACGTAATCATGTCGGTTCTCGTGTCGCCGCTAAGTGGAGCTCTAAATGATAACGATGAGTTCACAGTGTCAGGTTGTTGCTGTGCATTTAGATCGCATGTGTACTTATAATAAATCACACAATAACGTTTTGAAAGTATAACCTACGCATATGAAAAAAAATGCGGAGATATAGGTGATTATTTAAAAAAAAAAAAAAATCATTCAGCGTTCGAATATTTTTATTGCTTAGATGGGTGGACGAGCTCACAGCCCACCTGGTGTTAAGTGGTTATAGGAATCGGTTTGAAGGGTGGGGCAGCCGTTGTGACTATACTGAGACCTTAGAACTCATATCTCAAGGTGGGTGGCGGCATTTACGTTGTAGATGTCTGTGGGCTCCGGTAACCACTTAACACCAGGTGGGCTGTGAGCTCGTCCACTCATCTATGTAATGAAAAAAATGCAAGCGAGAGCGCGAGAAAAGCGATATAGAGGCACGACCAGCCCAAGCGTTGGCCTGCGACACGTTTATTTCTATTTTCGCATGACGTCAGAGCTAGCAGTTCAATAGTTCTGCTACTGATGTTATGACGTAAAACTATCGTCCGTAAACCGACTTTACAGACAACCAAAATTGATTTAATTCTTATCTGTTCTGTTTTCTTTTGTGTTCAAAACTGTGAAATAATATAATCACAATGTAAAACACGACATTAAACTGCAAAAATCTTCTCAGTGGGTCGCGTTTCCGATCCGGTGGTAGATTCTGCGAAGCACGACTCTTGCTAGGGTTCGCGTTAGCAACGCCGTCAGGTTTGGGCCCCGTGAGCTCACCTACTAGTCAAGGTTACGCTGAAATAGCCTCTCAAGGCTATCAGCTTAGGTGGGAATAAAAAAAAATGCAAAAGTAGTTTTAAGTATGCTTAGAGACGGCATTGCGTGGAATTCGAAATATTTTAAAGGCGAAAATTTGCAGCCAGAACGCGATGTGACATTTGGAAAGACGTTCTATAATAATGATGAATGTTCGCTTAAGAAATCGTACATCCCATCTGTCACAACAATCACAACTGGCACAACTATCACAGCTGACCGATTAGTATTATTTGCATTATTCAATGCTAGACCCGGCTTACCGATTAAATTATTTTAAAATTTTTAAACATTATTTTACAAATGGTGGTAGGACCTCTTGTGAGTCCGCGCGGGTAGGTACCACCGCCCCGTTTCTTTCTGCCGTGAAGCAGTAACGCGTTTCGGTTTGAAGGGTAGGGCAGCCGTTGTAACTATACTTGAGACCTTAGAACTTATATCTCAAAGTGGGTGGCGCATTTACGTTGTAGATGTCTATGAGTTCCAGTAACCACTTAAACTCAAGTGGGCTGTGAGCCCGTCCACACATCTAAGAAATAAACAAAAAAAAAATTACAAATGAAATTTAAAATAAAAAAATCCAGTGCTTATTAAAAATATCCCTTTCTAGATTCGGTGTCTTCGAACAGGCCAAACTGTACATGGTTACCGACAACGGTACCCTGACGACCACCGGTAAGCTGGCCTGCGGGCTGGCTGCCGGAGTGGCCGAGGCGATCTTCGCCGTCACGCCCATGGAGACTGTGAAGGTGAAGTTTATAAACGACATGCGCCTAGAGAAGCCCAGGTTCAAAGGTTTCTTCCACGGCGTCAGGACTATTGTTAGGGAGGAAGGTGAGTTTAATTTAGTTTTGAAGTTACTTATATTTCAAGCGACCGGCTCCGGCTCCGCTCGGGCCTTTAACAAAAATCAACGATATATGACGTTGTTTTATTTAAAAAAATAAAAGAACACTTATTGCGGCATAACTATAATAGTTAGACATATGGTGTCGCGACACTTTTTGTAAATAATAATGTGTTCTACAAAGTCGTAGTACATTATTTTATTCTATCATCAATAGGTTTCGTAGAGCACGCGATGTAAAGAATATTTAGGTAATTTTTTTACACCTTGAATTACATTATTGGAGTGTTAGTAAGGATCCCTAATTTTTTTCAAAAAAGATTATTGCCTATGTCACTCGGAAATAGTGTAGCTTCCAAACAGTGAAAGAATTCGGTCCAGCCGATCTCGAGTTTTAGCGAGACTAACGAACAGCAGTTCATTTTTATATCACTACATAGTATAAATTTTTGTCTTGAATTATTTGTGGAAGTCCAGAGAAGGTTTAAAAGGTAGATAAATATGAAAATGCTCGGAATTAAATAAAAATAACAATTTTGTTTTTCCTTTGATGCGTCCCCCGTCGGACGGATTCCTTTTGTTTGTTTTAAGTTTATTTTATACAAAAGTTTAGGTATTTTATTTATCGATTGAGGCACTACGAAGTCTGTCGGGTCAGCTAGTCACTAATAAAAACGATCCAGCGGCTCTCAAACTTGGAACTAAGAAACCATGCTCTTGTTTTGCATTGATGAATCCATTTACGGTTACCCGATCAATGGTTCATTAGTCCGCGTTATGTCGGATCCCGGCGCCATTGAAGATAGACTACGCCTTGAGTAAGGCGCGGATTGCCCACGGAATGATTGCCCACTAAACCCCATCGCTGATTCTCCGCCGACCCATGGACCGCCATGGTAGACAGTCCGGTCAACGCCACAGGCTCTTTTTTCTTTTTTTTTTGCTTAGATGGGTGAACGAGCTCACAGCCCACCTGGTGTTAAGTGGTTACTGGAGCCCATAGACATCTACAACGCAAATGCGCCACCCACCTTGAGATATAAGTCCTAAGATCTCAGTATAGTTACAACGGCTGCCCCACCCTTCAAACCGAAACGCATTACTGCTTCACAGCAGAAATAGGCGGGGTGGTGGTACCTACCCGTGCGGATACATAAGAGGTCCTACCACTAGGGCCGGAACAGAACCAGCCTGCCGGTTTAAGAACGCGATAAACCACCGCCAATTCACTCATCCACCTACTATTTCCTAGTAAATAAGGACATCGATAACGCAAAAGAGTTGGTAGTATGTTTAGTAAAACAAATGGTGCGCATGCAACTTAGTTCACGTGAAAGAATTGAAGTGACAGTGGAGTATTGTGGTTTTCTTCATTTTTCACCCTTAAATCAAATTTCTCTTGCACTAAGGAATGCTTGTATTCATCGCTGTGAAGGTTTTGGAAGGAATGTATGGATCTGTGGTGGGCGACGAAAGTAAAGCATGAAAGAGGAGTTCGTGCGGTAGAGATGCGAATGTTGAGATTGGTGTGTGGAGTGACAAGAATGGACAAGATAAGGAATGTGTATATCAGATGAAGTGTGAAAATAGACCCGATAATTAACAAATTAAAGAGCGGACGGTTAGCGTGGAATGGACATGTTAGCGTAGTGAGGAGATGCATGTGACTAGGAGATGTATGGAAATAGTAGTGCAAGGTAGAGTGGGAAGAGCTCGACTGAAGAAGACATGGATGGAGTGTGTGAATGACGATATGAGAGAGAGAGAGAGAGGAGTGAGTGTTGAGATGACGGCTGATATAGAGAATGGAAGAGAAAAATTTGCCGTGCCGACCCCACCTAGTGGGATAAGTTGGAGAAAAAAAAAGACTATAGAATGCTTGTATTATATAATAGAAACTGCAGAGGTATACGACTAAGGGAAGATCTTCCACCGAGCGGGTGATATTGCTCGGAAGACCGGCTGTCCAATTGTTGTTATTCTGAACTTGTATATATGCGAGCTTATCTTGAAAATGTCGTAAGCGAGATTCAGGCATCTGTCAAATATCTTATGTTGTATAATAGCTACCCGCCACAGAAACGACCTAGCTCGCTTTGTCGTCACCTGTCGAATGGTTCGCGAGACGCTCTGTCTACTTTCTCACTCTCGCACTTCGTAAATTGTATCTTTTCTCTCTAGCCGTAACGAATCTGTTGCATACAAAAATACATATTTTAATATAACATTTGAACGCCCAAACGATTCCACTAAAACTTCAGGTGTCGGAGGTGTATACAAGGGTGTCTCGGCAACCATCATGAAGCAGGGCAGCAACCAAGCCATCAGGTTCTTCGTTATGGAGTCTCTGAGGGACTGGTACAAGGGCGGAGACAGAGATAAGCACGTCCCTAAGTACATTGTTGGACTGTTCGGTGGTATAGCTGGTAAGTGGACTGTTGTGTTCGTGAAGTGTCATTCCTCTTAAGACCCCTTGGAATATAACGAGGAGTGAAAAGCTATTATTTTATATTAAGCGACAATATAACGAGCAGTGCAAGGCTATTTAGGATTTGATGACACTTTTGTAACTTTACAGGAGAGCAATTTAAAGTTTAAAATTTGGAAAAAATATCATTATAAAAAAACTGCTTCAGCTATTTGAATGCAGTAAAAAATATCGGATTATTGAGGCTAATACCAAATGAAACGGACCTTTAATTACAAAGATACCAAATCGTCTTTCACCGACTCGATATGTTCCGTTTCATTCAAATTATCATAAGGTTTTTTTTTATTAAATCCCGTAACTACATACCTGATCCTCCGGACCGAATGGTAAACAATCGACGTCGCCCTAAACGCGTCATCTCGGATCCTCCTGATCCACTAACGGTGCCCCAAGCACCGATCATCGTGCTCGTCGAACCCGTCGCCTACGACGAAGGGCTCGACGAGTAAATTAACCCACAGACACAGCCCACTGAGTTTCTCGCCGCGTTTCCGATCCTGTGGTAGATTTTGCGAAGCACTGCTCTTCCTAGGGCTAGTGATAGCAATATCATCAGGTTTGAACTCCGTGAGCTCACCTACACCACAGTTTTATTGTACGCGTCGACCTAAAGACAATTCAATATGAGGGTAGAAATAAAAAATCTGTACACATTTTCATCAGACTTTTTGGTAGGAACGCGAGGAGTGAAGTTGTGTGATTTGTTTTGTTTTGTCTATTTAGTGTTTCTTCGGGTTTAAATGTGTAATAATGGTGGTTTATTAACTGTTTAATATCTGTGAAAGTTCACAAATGTGGGAAAATGAAACAAAGCATGAGACGTAACTTCTCGGGATCCTCCAAAAAGTCCACTGAAAAAATCTTAGTAAATGACCACCATTTTACTGAGATTATATTTCATCCCATATCATCTCATTTCATTTCATCCCAGTTGATTAATGTCTCAAATTAATCATCTTCATTTCATTTCACTCCATAATATATTTTTTAATAAAAATATGAATATAAATTAAAATAAGACATGACTTAAAGGTCTCGGTTATCAGGTCATAAAATCCCTTTAAAAAAAATATACATTTTCATCACTTAACGAAACTGTGTATTATTTTCCGATTAACCACAGGAGCTGCCTCGGTGTTCGGCAACACGCCCATAGATGTCGTTAAAACACGCATGCAAGGTCTGGAGGCGGCCAAGTACAAGAACACCATTGACTGCTTCGTGAAGACCTGGAAGCACGAGGGTCCGCTCGCGTTCTATAAGGGCACCGTGCCGCGCCTCAGCAGGGTCGTGTTCGACGTGGCCATCACCTTCACCATCTACGACAGCATCATGGACGTCTTCAACTACGTGTGGAAGTAGGCGTGGTGGTGGCTCTCGCGAATGTAACGAGGAAACTGCCGAAATTAACACTAATCATACAGACAATTTTACTGGTGGTAGGACCGGTGAGTCCGCGCGGGTAGGTACCACCACCCCGCCTGTTTCTGCCGTGAAGCAGTAATGCGTTTCGGCTTGAAGGATAGGGCAGCCGTTGTAACTATACTGAGATCTTAGAACTTATATCTGAAGCTGTGTGGCGGCATTTACGTTGTAGATGTCTATGGGCATTACTGGTACCTATTTCTACCGCAGCGGGTAGATGGCGGTATAATAACTATAATAATAATATATTAATTGGTAAGAAAAAGTCATGTAGTAAAATTTGCAAAAGCAATAAGACGATACGTGCATCTACAATGCAAAAATTCAAAATGGGTCATTTGACCCCATTATGGTGTGTTTAGTGTTAATTTCGAATTGGTTCTCTAAATTACAAGCTTAAAGTTGATATTGACCGTGTATTTCGCGAAATTCAAAAAAAAATGTAGTTGTAAAAAGTATATATTAGAAATATCATGTGCCCCGAAAAATACGCATAGTGTATTTTGTAAACTATAACTTAAGGTATCACGTGTCCTCGTCTAACGCACGCGTCGGAGAGAGACGGAAGATTAATGTGATGACGCGTCTAACAACTTGTCATTGTGCATTGAAGTAAAGAAAGAAACGACTTGACTCGTAGAGCGCTGTCTCTGTCATCACCCAGTGTTACGTATTTAAAATGTGACGCGTGCGACAGAGACAACACTAGTAATCCGAATGAAAACGGTTGGTTCTATTAAGTGCATTTGAATCATTTTTTTCTCAAGTTCTCATAATCTTGTTTTCTTTTGTGTTCGTTTGGGTATATTTTTTTTCAATGAGCAAAGATATTTCAAAATTTTAACTTAGCTCAGAATCAAGAGACTATACAAGAGAGGTACCACCGTCCCGCCCATTTGTGCCGCGAAGCTGTCACGAAATCCGGTTTAAAGTGCGGGCCACTATGAAATCAAGACTTGCTCATGATGTCTTTGTCATTGCTGTCCATGGGCCGGTACCCACATCACACCAGACCAACCTTGAGCTTGTCCATTCTACTAGTGGAACAAAAAAAGTGGTTCCTTTTCAAAACATGATTATTTATAATTACATAATCAAAATCACTTTTACGCGTTTTAATCTCGCTTATAATACCGTCACTACATCATTTCTGACGCTTAGAATACATAATACAGTTTACGTGGTCACTTCATTCACATATGTGACCACAAAAACTGCAAAGCTTCCACGAAGAACACAACTCGAAATTAAACCGTAAAAGTGTTTTTAATTAAGCCTTAAACTCTCGCGAGACTCAAAGAAGATTTAATATCAATTTACTTTGTCATTGTACATTTGGAGAACTGCACTATGAATAGCGGCGCTGTCGTCTCATTTAGCTAATTAGTCTTTAAATATTTCTCTTTTACAATGGGCACATCTGACACCCCGAAACCCGAATGTGATATCGTTTTTAACATAACGATAAATTATTTTTACATAATTACAATAACAATATTATTGACAGTCGAAAAAGATATCGAATGTCACTAATACTAATTTCGTAATTATAAAACTTTTGGTCTTATCTGTACATGTGTACAAGTCGGTTGCCGGACTATCGACTCTAAGGCGACGCGTTTAAGGCACATTCTAAAAAAAAAAACATCAATAAAACAATCAGCAGATATGTGTGACGTGTTGATTCAATATTATTATGCTTCTGCGATTAAAATCTGAGACGATTTTAAGTGATGAATTATGTTAAGACTAAACCTTGCTACTATTGGCATAAGGTTGAAATTTATTTTCTCGTTTCGGTGTCTTTACATAAATTTTCGAATCAATTATTCTAAAATAAATTCAATTGGTCTGTGTAACGCTATGAAATGAAATAGAAATGGAAATATTCAATTTTAAGAATTGCAAGCACCCGCCCACCCAACTTAATGTCTCTAATTTCATGAAATACTATTATTAAAAGTCACTAAATTCACTTATGGACTTGACAAACACAAATTATATATATCTAAAGTGTTCTGATTTTAGAATTTAAAAACAGAAACTAGTCACTTGTGGAAACTTAATATCTAAAAGCTTTTAAAGTGAGAAATGTCAGTGAGAACACTATGTATGTAAAATGAAATTATTTAAATTAGTATTGAGCGTTTGCTTGGTGAAAAGACGAAAATCTATATTTCTATTTAAAAAATATTCAATCCCTTTGACAAACAGATGAGTCGACTATTATCAAAGGCGGCAATCTGACTTTTGGACAATGATTGGTAAATCAGAAAAACGAATTATTGACTTTGTATTCCATTGGCAGTCACAAAACTCTTCGGAACGACATCTTAGATAAATAACAGGTTAACTATTAACCTTTATTTAATGCAGGTTTTGAACCGTATTATTTGAAGGAGACGATTATATTCAAATAAATCTGTATTGACATATCAATAAAAAATTTTTGTCCAAATGTACAGATTGCCGCCTTTGATAATAGACGACTCAGATGCATAATGTGGAATTAGCGTTTCTATATACAGCGTGTTCTCTTTGGAATATCAAGTTGAGTGCACAGAGCTTGCCGCTGTGACGTCACACATCACCAAACAACATTGAACATATCTAAAAACAGATCCTCAATAAACGGGACTACTTTTTCAACTGTCAAATGAAAAATATATTCCATAGAACATACAATATAAATAAACAAAAATATATACAGCTGTATGTATGTATAAAATGATTTAGTTGTATCACTTCTATATCTATCTATCCATATTATATCGTGACTGAGAAATGTAGTCTAATTTTGAGTGAACTTGGGCATGTTCGGTCTTTAAAGTGACTAGTGTTTCTAGATGTGACTTTGGATCGGACGAAATCATCGGCAAACCTTGTATGCTACATCAACTAATTGGTAGACAGCGGCTTTGCTCTGCCCCTGGTATTGCTAATGTCCATGGGCGACGGTAACCACTCACCATCAGGTGGACCGTACGCTCGTCTACCTACAAGGGCAATAAAAAAATTAAAAATATATCCATGCCATGTCTCATCTAGTATGTCGTAAAACTAAATCAAGTTATTAATTACAATGTAGTATGTATACCTAGTGAACATTATTACTGTGTTTTAGGAAATAATTTATATAAAAATACATATTTTCAATAAATGAAAAGGTCAAAAAAAAAAANCTGTGTTTTAGGAAATAATTTATATAAAAATACATATTTTCAATAAATGAAAAGGTCAAAAAAAAAAACTCACAAATCAGAAATTTTACATAATAAAAGAGTATAAACAAAAATTTAAATTTTCTTTGAAAGCGTCGTCGCATTATTTCTATACTGATTGTTGAAAAAGTCTATTAAACTTTTCGTTCGCGCCAAATGAGTTCCTGTCACAACATAATTAAATTATTATTTTTTATTTCAACAATAGTGACGTCACACATTGCAATTACAAATTTCAATATATCGCACATACATACGGTGCGATAACGTCACTTGTGCAAATTATGTAATTTTTCATGAGAAACGTTGGTAAATTCAACATATTATTATATAGTTAATAAAATAATATTTAAACTACAACTTTAAACTTCATCAGTAAAAGTAAACATCTCTTGCGTCTCGCTAATAACTATTAACAAATGTATTTTCTTATACTCTGTTCAGTGTTAACAAAAATAGCATAAGTGACTTCATAGCACCGTGTGTGCGATATATTTATGTATAATGTAATATTAGATAGTTGTCTAAACTAGTGGTCCCGCAGTAGTCGAAATTCGACTATAATTCATTGAAATTTTAAGTTTGGACATTATTATCATTGTATTGTCAAAGACTATTTATTATAATTATATAATCGCAGATTTCGGCAAGACTACCTATAGAGAAATACCTAATGTTAAAGACAAACAATATTAATCTATCCTCAATTTGACCACAGACTTTAAAGAATAACAAAAGTTTCACAATTGACAATTTACAAAGAGTATATTTATTTATACGTGTGCTGTGTCAAATACATGATAGTGTGTGTAATGTTTTCTTTATTGATTTAATGTATCTTTTATGCATTATCCTAAAAAAATATATTAGCATTGTGCACTGCTTCTCTATATTCTCTATAAGTGTGGAAAATTTCATACTCCTCCGTCCGCGCAATTTTCGTAAAAAGGGATACAAAGTTTTTGTTTCACGTATTAATATATAGATTAGTTAGAATGTTGTCAAGATATCGCTCGAACGCGTCGCCAAACTTACTACAAAGTAGGTTATGGTTATTTTTATCAATGAAACGCTAACGTTGGAAGCCATATAATTATTTTATTACCATTTGTTATGACATGTGATTCGCGCTATCACACGCAAGTAATGAAGTGAAGTGAAATATGAAATATTTTTTTATTAATATTTTTTTTGCTGATTGTAAAACAAATCGTTTATTTTTTTTTAAAGATATTTTTTAATTTAAATATTACCGTATTGCTTTTTATATTTTTAATGCTTTTTTTTGTGAAGAATTCCAACAGAGATGCTTTTGTTCGTTTTCGCATTTATTTTTTGTTTTTACATCTAATATCACGCCCTTAAGGAATTATCGAAAGAAAATGTACTTTAAGGAAACCCCATTTAAAGTCTTTATTGATTTAAAATGACTGTTTACATATTTTTTTACTACTTTTTTCAATAATATTATACTTATTAATAAACTATAACTGAAGATTTTTAGATAAAATAAAATATGCTGTTTCTATTGCCTAAACCTAACTGCCGGAAAGTTAATGAAATATATCAATAATACGTACAAAATATTTTTTAAGCTTGCAACTTTTATTTTATTTTGCAGAACACGTTTTCTTCATAAAAAGGTTTTTTTTATTTATTAAAGATGGTTTATAATGTCATGTTATGTTGTAAAATATCTTAGTACAGTATCATTTATTTATTTTTTTAATTAACAAACTCAACATGAATTTTGCGAATTCTCTGTCCACCAAACATTAGATTAATTACAAAAGGCATTAAGTTTTCGTTAGTTATAGGTTTTATTTCGCTGTAACTAAATGACGTATTGGAGAATGTTAATAAAAAAAAAACGTTTATGTATTAAAGATATTAATTAAAAACTGTAAAAATAAGGTACCGAAATTCAGAGGTAGGTAGCAAATTTGGCTGTGCCCATAACACCTATAATCAGCTTTGCCCATAAAAAGGCATACGCGTTTTACATTATTTCGAGGTTGAGACGAGTGCTTTTTCACTTTCTTGCGCATTTGTATGACACACGTGAACTCTGACGTCATTGTTCTATATATATACATCGCGGTGTCCGTCGCATGAAATTAAAACACTCATTCGTTTTGTTTTTATTGTTAATTGTATCGTTATATTCTTGATGGGAATTATTAAAATAAGCAGTCGACACGTGTCGCATCACTATTGCATTATATACAATTTTCTCACAATAGAAATTCTGTTTTAGCTAAATTTTTTTCAAACTGTAAACCGTTGTACTATAGTTTGTTATAACACGTTAACTGCCGAAACACTAAAAGTAAAAATAATGTTCACAATTTGTAGTGAACATTACGTGTGACGTCATTTGTGTTCAAACGCCGAGACAACCACAGATAGTACAAAAATACATGACGTATGTATTGCTAGCTTAATCTGTCTTATAAAAACTTTTTATGAAATTGTATTTAGTGATTTAAAATAATAATTTTAATTCAATTAAGATTCCTTAAAATGTACAAAGTCGCTTCGGCAGTCAACGTGTTAGTACTGATTATAAAGAAAATATCATTCCACACTCTACGCTTATTATCCTTTGACAAACAGTTTTATATTTTAACGAATACCTTTTGATGTAATGTTGACATGTTGAATTAATTATTTATTTAATGTTTTATTTTATTTTTTCTTGAATGAAAACAAATCGTTGTGGAAAATGTTTGTTTTATTCCTACCCTCCTCTGGTATTTTTAAGTGTAATAATTAACACGTTGGACGCCACATGAAAAATCGAGTATTTTCATTCAGGCTAATGTACCCACGGGTGAGCCTAATTTTTTTTTTATGGCTTTGATGGGTGGACGAAGTCACAGCCCACCTGGTGTTAAATGGTTACTGGAGCCCATAGACATCTACAACGTAAATGCGCCACCCAACTTGAGATATCTAAGATCTCAGTATAGTTACAACGGCTGCCCCACCCTTCAAACCGAAACGCATTACTGCTTCACTGCAGAAATAGGCGGGGTGGTGGTACCTACCCGCGCGGACTCACGTTTGTTGAGTACGTATTTCATTAGAAAAATTGGTACTCGCCTCGGATTCGAACACCGGTGCATCGCTTCAACACGAATGTACTGGACGTCTTATCCTTTAGGCCACGACGACTTCAAAATCTTATACTTATCTTACTGAACCGTTCGGACAATGAGGGTGACCCGTGAGCCGCGTAAGGGTTCCAACGTCAACGCTTCCTACAAGCCGCAGATTATAGCTTTTGAAGAAAACGCGTATAGAAGTGAGCAGCACGTCCTTACGGATTCATTAGATCCAATAACCTTTGCATTAGACGTCTTCAGCTCTAACACTAGGAGCAGACTTAGGAACCGTACTCGTCGAACTCGACAAAGAGGTCGACGTGCAACCCAACCCATGCATCAGCCCGCTGAGTTTCTCGCCGGATCTTCTCAATGGAAAGCAAATCCGATGCGAAGTAGATTCAACGAAGCACTGCTCTTGCTAGGGGGCCAGTATTAGCAATTCTCTCAGGTTGAGCCCATCAGCTCCAGTGTGGTCTAAATTATAACTGTATAAAACTCTAAACATCCCAGTACATTTTTGAAAATTTGATGTATGTTCGTAAACATATTGAGGAGTTTCCTAAAAAGTCGGACATACATAATAGAAATACTAGGAACAAACACAAGCTTGTTGTGCCGATGAGTAGGTTACATAAGATACGAAATTCATTCGGGTGTTTGTCTGTGCGCCTGTACAACAAAATCCCACAAGATGTTCAGANATCCCAGTACATTTTTGAAAATTTGATGTATGTTCGTAAACATATTGAGGAGTTTCCTAAAAAGTCGGACATACATAATAGAAATACTAGGAACAAACACAAGCTTGTTGTGCCGATGAGTAGGTTACATAAGATACGAAATTCATTCGGGTGTTTGTCTGTGCGCCTGTACAACAAAATCCCACAAGATGTTCAGAACCTACATATATATAGGTTTAAGAAAACTATTAAAGAACATCTGTGCAATAAAGCTTACTATAAAGTCAATGATTATCTAGAAGTTTGCACAAAGTGGGAATGAGTTGCTCGCTCCGGGCATTTCAATATTGTAGTAATTGTTACGTTATAATACTGATTGTAAAAAATTCATATTTAAAAAAAAATCTAATATTAAAAAATAAATAAATTATAATTTCATATTTAAAAAAAAAAAAAAATAGACATGCCTGCTGAGTTTCTTGCCAATTCTTCTCAGGACGGAGGCTACTTCTAGTGAATTGGCGGTAGTTCTTTTGACGTTCAACAAGTATGTACTTTCATTTATGTTGAATAAAATTTTTTTGATTTGATTTGATTTGATTTGATTTGATTTAATATGGGTATGGGGAAAAAAATGAAAACACGATTATTTATAACAACGATATTGTATTAAAACATTTAAATATTAAAATAATTGAATGTTGATTTAAAACGGATAATTCTTCAAATGGGCGAACGCCTTCGAGGGTACGCAGCGGTGGTCGATGTTGTAGCCGTCGACAAGCGCCATCTCGTCATCGCTCAGCGTAAAGTCGAAAATATTGATGTTCTGTTCGATCCGGGACTTCGTGAACGATTTCGGTAGAACAGGAATGTTGCGTTGGGTCTGGACAAACGAATCGGGTTACGTTATGAACTATATGCTTAGTGCGAGTTTTTTAACATTCTCGATAACGTAAAAGTTAACTTAATGCAGTTGGAATAGCGCCCCTAGCGACGAACTTAGGCAAACGATCCCATTCTATACAAATATGAGTTAACTTTTACACTATCGACAACGTTAAAAAATTCGCCCTAAGCACACTGATGGTCACACCAGTGTACTTAGTGCGAGTTTTTTAACGTTTTCGATAACGTAAAAGTTAATTTAATGCAGTTGGAACAGCGCCCCTAGCGGCGAACNAAAAAAAAAAAAAATAGACATGCCTGCTGAGTTTCTTGCCAATTCTTCTCAGGACGGAGGCTACTTCTAGTGAATTGGCGGTAGTTCTTTTGACGTTCAACAAGTATGTACTTTCATTTATGTTGAATAAAATTTTTTTGATTTGATTTGATTTGATTTGATTTGATTTAATATGGGTATGGGGAAAAAAATGAAAACACGATTATTTATAACAACGATATTGTATTAAAACATTTAAATATTAAAATAATTGAATGTTGATTTAAAACGGATAATTCTTCAAATGGGCGAACGCCTTCGAGGGTACGCAGCGGTGGTCGATGTTGTAGCCGTCGACAAGCGCCATCTCGTCATCGCTCAGCGTAAAGTCGAAAATATTGATGTTCTGTTCGATCCGGGACTTCGTGAACGATTTCGGTAGAACAGGAATGTTGCGTTGGGTCTGGACAAACGAATCGGGTTACGTTATGAACTATATGCTTAGTGCGAGTTTTTTAACATTCTCGATAACGTAAAAGTTAACTTAATGCAGTTGGAATAGCGCCCCTAGCGACGAACTTAGGCAAACGATCCCATTCTATACAAATATGAGTTAACTTTTACACTATCGACAACGTTAAAAAATTCGCCCTAAGCACACTGATGGTCACACCAGTGTACTTAGTGCGAGTTTTTTAACATTCTCGATAACGTAAAAGTTAACTTAATACAGTTGGAACAGCGCCCCTAGCGGCAAACGTACGCAAACGATCTCATTCCATACAAATATGAGCTAACTTTTACGCTATCGACAACGTTAAAAAATTCGCCCTAAGCACACTGATGGTCACACCAGTGTACTTAGTGCGAGTTTTTCAACATTCTCGATAACGTAAAAGTTAACTTAATGCAGTTGGAACAGCGCCCCTAGCGGCGAACTTAGGCAAACGATCCCATTCCATACAAATATGAGCTAACTTTTACACTATCGACAACGTTAAAAAATTCGCCCTAAGCACACTGATGGTCACACCAGTGTACTTAGTGCGAGTTTTTAACGTTCTCGATAACGTAAAAGTTAACTTAATGCAGTTGGAACAGCGCCCCTAGCGGCAAACTTAGGCAAACGATCCCATTCTATACAAATATGAGCTAACTTTTACGCTATCGAGAACGTTAAAATACTTGCACTAAGCACACACATGAAGGAACGAATTGCCGCCGCTACCCTTGAAACGTGAGGTCGACTTCACACTCGGACAACGGTTAACTGGTTTGTGGCAGAGACAGATATGACTATGAATTGTAGGTCTGGTTTTATGTATCATATGTAACTATACTGAGACCTTAGAACTTATATCTCAAGGTGGGTGGCGTATTTACGTTGTGGATGTCTATGGGCTCCAGTAACCACTTAACACCAGGTGGGCTGTGAGCTCGTCCACCCATCTAAGCAATAAAAAAAATCAGGATTTTTTCATTGTTCCTAGAGTTTACCCGGCAGTTTTGAACCTAGGCCTTTGCCTTACGCGTCGCTTTATACCATTAGAGTACGTCTCATCCCATAGACCGTAACGACTTCGCTAGTAGTCCTATGTCAGACATTGTTATACTAAAGAACCATCGATAAATGTAGACATCTTCAACGCAATCGCACAACATTCTAAAGTACATCAACGAACAAATAAACAAACCTATATTTTTAAAACCTAAGTAGATTCACGTAAATCGTATTTAATTTTAACAAACATATACATATACTACATGTAATGCAAGACGACCAGTTTGTTACCGGAATGACGATATACACAGAACAGCAGGCGACGGCTGGAGACGGGCCTTGAGAGAGACCTATGTCCCACAGTCGACTAAAACAAATGACGATGTCATTCACTCACCAGATACCTAAGGGCGACTTGAGCCCTGGTCTTTCCGTACTTGTCGGCTAGTCCGCCCAGCTTCGGGTCGGTTTTGATGACGTCGAGGCCCGCGAACTCTGGCCGGGCGTCCGAGACCAGACCGAGCGGAGTGTACGCTACCGGCACCACCGACCTCTCCTGGCAGAACCTCACCAGTTTGTGCTGAGTTAGTGTTGGGTTGATCTGAGAGAGAAGAGAAAATATACATAATAACCTCACCAGTTTGTGCTGAGTTAGTGTGGGATTTATCTAAAAAAAAATTCTTTATTGAACACTAAAACACAATTAACATTAACTGTCAACAGCAACAGGCAGGTAGCAGCCGCTGCCTACTTACTATCTACAACGTAAATTCCACCACCCACCTTGAGATATAAGTTCTATTATCCAGTATAGTAACTTTATTGATTATTAAAAAAAAACATAATATTCCTAACCTAAAAGTACATGTTATTATCCATATAGTTACAACTAACTATAACTGAGACCTTTTTTTTTTCGTGCCGTTCATTTGCTGAACCTCCTACGAACTCCCGGCGCCTAGGGGGCGCGCGGGGTATGTGGGACTTGACTATCCGCAAGGTGTTAGGAGCAGACCGCGGGCTCAAGGAATTTTAGGCCCCACCCACTAAACGACTCCCCTGCACTCTTACACCCGACGTGCGATCTCCGTCCAGGGTCAGAACCCGGTCAGAGATCGTATCGCCACGCGTAATCCGCAGCGAGCGCCTCCGCTTCCGGGTCCCAGGGAGGCGTCCCGGCGAGCACGCACGCCGCCTCGAACGAGACGATGCGTTACCCGCGAACCGCCCTGACCGCAATCGCGCGCTGCGGACGTCGCAACGCATACGCCTAACAACTGAGACCTAACCTAACCATCAGCGCTATCACCAAATCAACTCAATAAATACCTACAAATTCCAACAACAACAATTACAACAGAATATTACTCTTCAGTTCCGCATAAGCCATATTGTTAGTTTACTAAACAAAACACGCTTTTAATACTTTAAGCGTGCGGTCTTATTTATTCAACGTTAATTATTTCGTTAAAATATTCTCTCTATTGTTAAACTTATCAGACATGTCATTGATACGTGACTCTGACTACGTGTCCGCGAAGGCTTCTAAAGTAATTTAAATACATATGTACCTAATAAACGAAGATGTTTCATTGTTACATTGAATTTCTAACTCATTTGTTCTCCCTTAACAAACTAATAAATCATATGTGGCTTAAAGTAAATGTATAGGTAGATTTTTTTATTTTTTTTCTACCTAAGCTGATAGATAGCCTTGAGAGGCTATGCCAGCGTAACCGGGCGAGTAGGTGAGCTCACGGGGCTCAAACCTGATGACGTTTCTAACACAAACCCTAGCAAGAGCCGTGCTTCGCAGTCTACCACCAGATCGGAAACGCGACCCACTGAGAAGATCCGGCAAGAAACTCAGTGGGCTGTGTCTGTGGGTTAATTCGCTCGTCGAGCCCTTCGTCACGAGCGACGGGTTCGATGAGAACGATGACCGGAGTTTTTTTTTTTATTGCTTAGATGGGTGGACGAGCTCACAGCCCACCTGGTGTTAAGTGGTTACTGGAGCCCATAGACATCTACAACGTAAATGCGCCACCCACCTTGAGATATAAGTTCTAAGATCTCAGTATTGTTACAACAGCTACCCCACCCTTAAAACCGAAACGCACTACTGCTTCACGACAGAAATAGGCGGGGTGGTGGTACCTACCCGCGCGGACTCACAAGAGGTCCTACCACCAGTACAGTACCGTGTAGTGTTGTAGCGGCGGATTGGGGGGGGGTCCCTGGATTTCGTGACGTCCATGACCCACGGTAACTACTCATAATCAGGCAAGCCGGATACTCAACCGTCTAAAAACACGTTAACTAGACCGTGGCGACTTAGAACTCACGTTTTTAATATAGAGTGCGGAAATTCCCGTCTATGGACTTCGATAACGAGCTAGCACCACCGTGAGCTATGCGATAAAAATACCAAAGCGTTAAAAAGGAAAGTCATATTAAATTTGAGTGACGCGGTGGATAAGTTTAGAAAAAAAAAACAAATTTTAAGCGATATTAATCTATACACATATATAAAAATGAGTTGCCGTTCGTTAGTCTCGCTAAAACTCGAGAACGGCTGGACCGATTTGGCTAATTTTGTTCTTGAATTATTTGTCGAAGTCCAGAGAAGGTTTAAAAGGATTTAGATAAATATGAAAATGCTCGGAATTAAATAAAAATAACAATTTTGTTTTTCCTTTGATGTGTCCCCCGTCGGAGGGATTCCTTTTGTTTGTTTTAAGTTTATTTTATACAAAAGTTTAGGTATTTTATTTGTCGATTGAGGCACTACGAAGTCTGCCGGGTCGGCTAGTTAAAAATAAATAACTCACTTCGACTTGGTTGACGACTGGTTTAACCGTGGCTTCCCTGAGCAACCTCTCGAGCTGCTCCTCGTTGAAGTTGGAAACTCCTATGGCCTTCGTGAGGCCCAGTTCCAGGACTTCCTCCATGCCCTTCCACGTGTCGAGGTGATCGATCGCCAGATCCTCACCTTTGTCCTATAGTTGATTATTTAGTTTATTACTGTTATATATATATAGTTATTACTGTTGGTAGAAGCTCTTGTGAGTCCGCACGGGTAGGTACCGCCCCGTCTATTTCTGCCGTGAAGCAGTAATGCGTTTCGGTTTGAAGGGTGGGGCAGCCGTTGTAATTATACTGAGACCTTAGAACTGATATCTCAAGGTGGGTGGTGCATTTACGTTGTAGTTGCCTATGGGCTCCAGTAATCATTTAACACCAGATGGGCTGTGAACTCGTCCACCCATCTAAGCAATAAAAAAGTTACAAAATTATATACATAGTTGTAGTTCGTTATTTATTCTCCTAATAACGGGAAATGTGCACTCAAAAATAAATAACTCAAATACACCATTTTATACACACTTCTAATATTTTGGTAGTGTACAAGCATTATAATATTAAAAGGAACTGAGAAAGAAACCGAATCCAGGCTGCAGGCGATACTAATTATACATATTATCTATATATTAATGTGACTTTATGTCACATTGTGTGACTTAATGTGAATTAATGTGAACTTGTACTATATATATAAAACCCAGAACACAATGTGAATATAGCGACACACCTTGACACATGGGGTCGCAGTTTCAATTGTGTTATATAAAGACTGACCCCAACCCTTGGAAACCAGAACGCATGAATGCTTCGCGGCAGAAATAGGCAAATTCGTGATATCAACCCGTGTGGTATGACAGTACCGATCCTAGTAAAAATATGTGTAATACAAATTTCACAATACAATTGAGGCTTCGGACTCATGTGTAAAGGTGTCTATGGCAGCCGATAATCTTTAAGTTTGTCTGTCCATCAAGCATGAACACTTTTTATTTAATACATATCGACGCTTGAAGGCAAACGTGACTAAGCGACAATAACGGCTTTATACATAAATGATAGACAATAACCATATTCGATGCACAAAAAAAATATATTTCTAGGTCTATTAAAATCATTTCAATCCTACAGCTAGATTCGTTAAAATAGATTTTTTTCCAGGTATTTCAACTTTAAATTAGTCTACTGTAAAGTTCACGCATTGTCGCTTAGTCACGTTTGCCTTTCAAGCGTCGATATATTTTACCAGCCCCCTTGATCCTGATGCTGTAGCCAATACTTACGTTGACAGACACAGGCCAGTGCACCAGATACAAATCGACGTAGTCCAAACGCAGTTTTGCTAAGGACTCCTTCAGTGTCGGCAAGACATCAGACCTCGCGTGCTTATCGTTCCATAACTGAGAAATAATTGTTCGACTAAACACAATACAACAAGTTACGCTGTTGTTTATAGGTAATAGCGATGACAATATTAATGTCAGTGCCAAACAGTTGCGAATCGATGCGATTTACTTAATAATAAATTGTAATAAATTTGAATTAAAAATAGTGTATGTAAAATTTATTTTATTTTCTATTTTTTAGTTGGATTTTCTATAAAAGCGTATTTTGTTAGTTTTTTTTACATTATTATTTATTTTTCATTTTTTAGTCGAATTTCAATTTTTTGAATTTTTTTTAAGATATTGAACTGTTATCGGTCGGCTAATTAAATAACTACCTAACATGCTCACGGACGACTTTCACGATCAAAGAATAACCTGGTGTAAGATAAAACGAAACCAGCTGAATTAATATTTGTAAATACCGATTGCGGATTGGATTGTTAATAATACCTACTACATAGATATGTGCCGCCATGTTTTTGCGACGAAGCAACCTTCCGGTTTGGAGGATCGCAAAATAATCTATATATGTATATAAAAATCAATTGCTGTTCGTTAGTCTCGCTAAAACTCGAGAACGGCTGGACCGATTTGGCTGATTTTGGTCTTGAATTATTTTTGGAAGTCCAGAGAAGGTTTAAAAGGTAGATAAATATGAAAATTTTGTTTTTCCTTTGATGTCCCCCCGTCAGACGGATTCCTTTTGTTTTAAGTTTTTTTTATATAAAAGTTTAGGTCTTTTATTTATCGATTGAGGCACTACGAAGTCTGCCGGGTCAGCTAGTTATACAATAAAAACTTTGAACTCTTAATACTAACTAGAGGTCCCGCAGTAGTCGAAATTCGACTATAATTAATTGGAATTGTAAGTTTGTACACTATTATGATTGTATGTTATACTTCTATAATCACAAATTTCGCCAAGACTATACTATAAAAAATATTAACAAAGACAAACAATATTTAATCTATTCTCAATTTGACAACAGATGCCAAGAACGAAAGTTTGACAATAAATAGTATGCATGCGTGTGTGCGTCAAATACATGGTATGTAGTGTGTGTAATGTTTTTTTTATTGATTTAATGTATCTTTTATGCATTATTTAAAAAAAATATTAGCATTGTGCACGTCTATATTCTCTATAAGTGTGGAAAATTTCATACTCCTCCGTCCGCACAATTTTCGTAAAAAGGGATACAAAGTTTTCGCTTCACGTATTAATATAATGATGTAGCAGAGTTTACGTAAATATGTTTATAGACGTCGGAGAGTCACGAAGACACGCCCGGCAACATTGCGTATTTTAATACCTAACCTAAATATTATTAAGACCCTTTACGCGCCATTACTGACGTAATCGAGCTGTCAGAATAGCATTAACCTCAAACCTTAACCTTGGAGAAAAATGTTACCGATGACACGAATGATTTAAATTTCACTTTTGTTCAATAGCTTTTTTTATTTTTTTATTTTATTTATGTGACTGTAGACCATTTAAATATAATGTCCACTCCATATCCTCTTCAAAAACTTCTAATTAATTCCTAAATAAATATTTCTATGTATGTAATTGGATGTTGCCATCAAAGTTAACGTCGAACGGTGGTTAGAGAAATTTCTCTGGCTTTAGTAGTTTTAGATCTTAGTTATTTCTCTAACCCTAGCTTAATAATAGTATTACCAAAAAGGAGTACCCTTTACATCCCTATTAACATTTAGATGTGTCAAAGATTTTATTTTTGCTTAGTATAGTATAGGCTTAGTTAAGTGAAAAAAGACAGTTGCTACAATATTAAAATACACGGATATTCGTTTTTTTGCCTATATTATTGGACAAGCTCACGACCCTCCTGGTGTTAAGTAATTTCTGTAGCCCATAGACATCGACAACGTAAATCCCACCACCCTGAGACATGAGTTATGTCTCAGTTCTATAGTACAACGGCTACCGTTACCTTCAAACCGAAACGCAATGCTGTTTCGCGCTAGAATCAGGCAGATGCTCACAATTCGCCCGGCCACCATCAAAGCGCTTATTCCAACTCAAGCGAACACTGCGCTTGAATTTATTTAAAGATATAATAAACATTACCTACATGAGCTTAGTGCTCTCTATAAATGCGAAACCCAAAGAACGAAATTAAGTGATAATAAAACTTAGCCCTGGCTAGGTGGTGCAATGACCTCCGAACGGTGAGTGAGGAGAGCCGCAGACCGAGCTCAGTGGTGTGGATTGGGAGAGGCCTTGTCCAGCAGTGGACGACAGTGGGCTGATGATGATGATGATGAAAACTTGAAGGAACGGTTTTTCACGGACGGACACTTAGGAAAATGTTTTTGATGATGCCCGATAAACGATTTTTAAACTTAAATTTTGTTTTTAATAAGAATACCACATTCTTCTTTTTGTACTAGACCTTAACCAAAATGATGTGGGCTCGGCGCAGCCTGTTCTCTTACCATGGGGATTTGGCATGAGTTATCCGACCGACCGCTTATCTGACGTCAACGTTGCTAAAATAAAAAAAACATTAAAAGTGGCCATAGACAGATAATAAAAACGATCGTTAAATAAAAAAATAATAAAAAAAAGACACTTAAATAATTTCGTGACCGAGATTAGGTTTACGTGCCTACATTTATTTCGAAACACAATAAATAATGCAGTTAAATTTGATGAAAACGTTATGTTTTACTTTGGTCGTCAATTTAAGGAAAATTTAATTATTGGCAATATTAATAGTATAGAGTATAATAATAGTAGACTGGATGAAAGGCGATTGCATGCAGCAGAGATGCGATAACGAGAATGGATAGAATACGGAATGAATATGTTAGAGGAAGTCTGAAAGTGGCACCTGTGACAGAGAAGCTGAGAAGCGCGCGTTTGGGATGGTATGGACATGTGATGAGACGAAATGTTAATGAGGTTGGTAAGAAAGTGTTAACTATGAATGTGGAAGGATATAGAGGAAGAAGTAGACCTGAGAAGAAATGGATGGATTGCGTGAAAGACGATATATTTAAGAGGGGAGTGAGTGGTATATGATAGAGGAGCACGGAAGGAGAAAACATGTCGCGCCGACCCCAGGTGACTGGGAGAAGGGCAGCAGAATGATGATGATGAATAATAGAATAGAGTACGAAAGAGAAAGACAGTATTGTTTATTGTATACAAAATAAATAAACAATGCGAAACGTTCAATACAAAAAAGTACAATTGGCGGTCTTATCGCTAAGAGCGGTCTCTTCCAGCCAACCATCAGAGGACAAGAATCATTTGGAAACAAATTACACGCGATGTATCTATCGTATTTCTATAATTATATAAATATGAACAATGTGAGAATAATTTTACTTCTTATGTCTTATCTTATGCCTTATTGTACATCGATTATAAAATAAACACAAATACAAAACACTAAATACGAACGTTACAACGGGCGGTCTTATGACTAAAAACGATATCTTCCAGACAACCTTCATATCAACAAGAATTCTCTAAGGAAATTAATTTAGCGCAGTGTACTGATCGATTGTAAAAATAATATAAATATGAACATATTTACAATTAATTTTTTGCTTAGATGGGTGGACGAGCTCACGGCCCATCTAATGTTAAGCGTTAACCGGAGTCCATGGTAGGGCGTGGTAGGGAGTCTTATGAGCTCACACGGGTTACGACCGCTCTGCCTATATTTGTCGTGTACCAGTAATGCGTGTGATTTGAAGGGTGGGGGCAGCCCTTGTAACTATACTGAGACCTTTAAAATTATATTTCAAGGTGGGTGGCGCATTTACGTTGTAGATGTCTATGGGCCCCAGTAACCACTTCACACCAGGTGGGCTGTGAGCTCTTCCACCTTTCTAAGCAATAAAAAATAAATAAATAAAAACGTATTTCATTACAAAAATTAGTACTTGCCAGCGGGATTTGAACACCGATGCATCGCTTGATACGATTGCACCGGACGTCTTATCCTTTAGGCCACGATGACTGCAAAATATTTACAGGATCCGTTGACCAACTGGGTAGACAGAGACCTAATGACTCCAGCTACAGTAGTAATAAAAGATACGCTCGCAACGATCGCGTGTACCATTAGGAGCGTTCGCCAGCTAGCTTCGTTTTAGATCCGATGACTCACTGAATAACAACTTGTCAAAACCCATAAATACGGCTTAGCAACCGAATATTATTTTCTACTGTATCAAGGAATCCAGACTGTTTATTCAAGATAATGGTTTCATTCATAACGATTGAATATTTCGGACATAAAAAAATTATAAGAATCAATACACGCGTCCACAAGACGTTCGGAAACAAGGCCGCTTTTTGATGTAGCACGCGCTTCGATCATTGTATTTCTGATGGAATAAGACAGGCATTAAACGCCTTCAAGGTAATTATACAAACGTTTTATTGGCAGCCAGATCTCATCGAAACGCCGCGTTCCAGATTACGAACCACTCGAAATCATTATGTACTTATAACGTCCGAACGTTTTTTTATATTCTTTTTATTACTAGATGGGTGGACGAGCTCATAGCCCTCTTGGTGTTAAATGGTTACTGGAGCCCATAGACATTTACGACGTAAATGCGCCACCCCACCTCGAGATATAAGTTCTAAGGTCTCACGTATAGTTACAACGGCTGCCCCGCCCTTCAAACCGAAACGCATTACTGCTTCACGGCAGAAATAGGCAGGGTGGTGGTACCCACCCGCGCGGACTCACAAGAGGTCCTACCACCAGTAACGTAACGCGTCATTGTCTACTTTTCTAGTCAAGTTCATAAATCATGAAGATTTTCATCGATCATTTTAGACGTTGTCGCGGCCTAAAGGTTAAGACGTCCGGTGCATTCGTATCTAGCGATGCACCGGTGTTCAAATCCCGCAGGCAGGTACCATTTTTTCTAATGAAATACGCACTTAGCAATTCTTCACAATTGACTTCCACGGTGAAGGAATAGCATCGTGTAATAAAAATCAAAACCCGCAAAAT